AAAGCTGATAATTCCGCAAATAACTGCAATTGCAGATTTCGAACAGAGATGGCGGCGAAGAGGAAAAACTACGGACTGCAGCTTTAAGCAGCACTTATTTGTGTGAAAGCTTGTAGTAAAGTGTGATGCAACATTGTTTGTAGCCTAGTTTGTACAATGTGTGAAATATTTTATTTATTCAACTCTCAGGTGCCTTTAGAAACCCACTTCTGACTCCTCATACAAAACCCTCAGACAGAGCAAGAGCGGAGATATGCCCAAAATCATTGCCACATGATGTCAGGGATACAATAGCCCACTGCCATGCTGAAAGCTTGATAACAGTGTTTGAGCATGATGGGCAGCGCGGACGGCATAGTCCCTGAAAGGTTTCCTGCATTGTGGTGGCTTTTGATTGGCCACAATCAAATATTTGAATTTGAATACAATATTTGAAGTATATTGTAGATCTTGGCCCAAATCCTCAATAGAGCAGAAATGTAGCTGTGTTTGAATTTGAATGAAGTCCAGTAAGTATGAAATGTGTAAGCTCATTTTTTAAAATATCCTTCAGGATGGTACCAACTGTGCCATCTTTATTCATATTTCAACTTTATAATTGGACCATTTTTGTCCAGCTGCGCAACTGTAAGAATCAAATGCATTGACAACTACTGTAATTTGCTGTCATTCAACATTTGTTAGTGCCCTTACAAATTAACAAAAGTACTTACCCCAACCTCAGTTTCACAATCTGTTCGGATTCTGAGCTTTGAAAGAGAATATCACACCCTATGGTCTCGTGAACTTAACGGACATACTGTACGTATGTGGTGGCCCTATTCACAAGGCCGCAAGTTTAGGGCGCCATGGGAGAGGGCCCTTTCCAATGTAAATTAAATAAATAATATATTACTAGGAAATGTAAATTGTTGCACATTTTATTGCAGAGAGTGTGTGTATTTTGTAAACGTTTGCAACTCAATCACAAGCACCACAATTTGACCCACTTGAACAATTGGTCCAAATACAAGAAATAATGAATGTATGTGAAAAGTGGGAAAGTGCAAAGGTGTAGGTATTATCATAATTCACTACATGTTGACCATTTGTTATTTGAAACTAAAGTAGATGTTTTTCAGGATAATGTTAAATGGCATGTTTCTTCGTCCTAATAGCATTCTTGTGTTAAATGTGCACTTGCAGGTGATTAAAGAGTTCATGCAGACGTGGATAGCTTTAGAGAGGTGCTGATGGAAAATGTGCTGTGGCAGGCTGAAGGGTTAACGGCCGACTGCTCTTTTCCAGTGGGGGGTTTCTCTCTTGCCTTTTCCCTGTAGTAAAGCAAGCTGAGCACTGGTCAGGGATGCCCACTGGCTCTCATTAAGAGATGCCAAATCATTATGGATCCCTTCCCTTCCTGCAAAGCTCCCCTAAACCTCTGGCGGCTCACGGCTGTGAGCTATCATTAGCAGATGACAAACCCCATTAGAGTGCCCCCTCTCTGGGCTGGAGTGGATCTGACAAGCCCTCTTTAGCCTTCAACCAGTTCAAAAGCGCAAAAAAAATGCATTACATTTCCTTTTGGTAAATACACGCATACAGAAGCTTAACAACATACAGATATTTCCACACTACCACAAATGCACATAGCCTTATTTATAGACATTCACAAGAAAAAGCCTACATAATTTTAGAGGGCTTTTTTCCCCTCTCACTTTTCTCTTTTATTCCCTTTTTTGGCACTAGCTGCAACCCCTTTTCCACAAAAGCTGGCATGGCAAAGTGTACAGTCATTAGGTGTGGATTTAGAATTGTGCAATACGTAATAAATCAATTCATTATCTGTTTATCTATTCATCCATCCATCCATCTATATCTATCTATCCATCAATCCATCTATATATCCATATCCGTCTATCTATCTATCTATCTATCTATCTATCCATCTATATATCCATATCCATCTATCTATCTATCCATCTATTTTCTTTATTTTAAAGCTTGTAGATCGAAAGCCTTGTTAAGAAGAGTTTTGTTTGGAGTTTGGAGTCTTTTCCACTTTTCCATTTGGATTGCTTTTACTCCGCAGTCCCACCCTGACAGCCCTCCACCCTGCACCAGGTTTTAATTAGAGCTATCTGGTCGGGACCAATAGCTTTGCTTCTTAGTCCCCGCAAAGTCTTACACGCCTACTAATTTAAAGGGACCTTGATGCCTGTGGGACTTTTTATATCCTTCCAGGCAGGAGTGTGCAACGCATGCCCACTTTCATGTGGAAAACTTTGCATGTGACAAAGAGACTGAGCTGCTAGTAATGCCGCCATTATTGAACCTCAGAGAGGTTTTCAAATGGGCCCTCAGACAGCATCGGTCTGTTTGAGCCTGGATTCAAGTGTGCATGGCAGCTGTGTAGAGACTAACCCTGAACCAATAAAGTCTGTGAAGCCTTGTGTGTGCACTTTGTGGTTGTGTGTGTGCGTGTATGTGAGGGGACTTGCAAGGCTTAATGCACAGCTGGGGTAAATTTACTCCAGGGGCAATAGCGGAGAAGGCCTGCTGTTGCCAAAGTGAAATGCATGGAGAGCCTGTGCAATGAAGTGTGCTTCCATTGTCTGGAAGTAGGGCAGTGGCACAATGAGGACTGGACCTGGGAGACCATCTCACCTTGGCTGGAGAAAGCTGTTGTTACAACAAGTCGATTCGCACAAAGATTTTGAGAGTGTGTCTGGGAAACTATTACATTTATGGCGTCCTGGAATGCCTTGCAAAAAGTAATCTTGTTAGTAGGCTCACTGACATTTTAATTTGCTGAAATATGTAAGGGACAATGTACAGTCAGTTGGTCATTATCACAAAATACACCCTGACACAGAGGGGATGGGTCTTATTTCTGCCTGAAGGAATTTATTTTGCGATAATGAACTGTAATGTGCCAAATAAATGAATACATGCACATGAGATATTGAGTTTCAATATTTTATAATGGTAATTATTTTATCTTTAAGCTTCCACTAATAAAAAAATATAGCGTACAAATTAAGACGAACACTGCAACAATATTCAAGTAATATTAATACGAAAGTCATCCAAAGTCATTTTCACGTCATAATCGATAATTGAATGTGATTGGCTTCCGGTGTTATAGCTGCTCCAGTTATTTTGATTGTACAACAACAGTCTGTTAAGCTGCAATTTGATATTTGTTTTCATATTTTAATATATTATCGCATTCATAAAGACACAATGGTTTGTTGTGCAAATTTTACTGTTTATTGCACTGTGTTGTTCTTCTAGTTATTTATATGCATGTTCCCTAAATTATTATGTTTTAGCAAAACGTAAGAATATAGGGAACATACAATGAACATTTATGGTCATATAGAGATTTGACCTATATTTAAAACATCTGTGGGAATAACTAAAGAAGAAAAGGTGGTTGAAATTATAGGCTATTGAAAATCAAAAGGCAAGATCTATCAGAATGCCTATTTCCCCGATGCATTGGCCCACTTATAGTGAACTTGCTCATATTAGGGGTCACCTTCACACTATGGCATAATCACACATGACAGGTAGACAGTGTCATCAGTAGAAACCCGGGTCATGCCATCACAATTGAGTGCTGACAACTACATTCGTTTCACTGCTTCTCTTATCTCTACCTTTCCATCATAAATCACTGTTCTTTCTGTGGCCTGTCTGTCCATCCCCTCAGTCCTGTGTTCTGGTCACCTCATGGTTCAGAAAAAAAATAAACTTGGAGGATGGGAAATAAGTCAGAAAATTAGTCAGTGTTATCTCAGTAGGATAGCGCAAGATTGTTTCGGCCAACTACATGGAGCTTAAATTCTGGATGCTGTCTGTCACGATAAACCATGAGATGGCCATGGGAATCAGACTTTTTCTTTCACATAATATTTGAACAGTTTTTATGAAGGAAGATCAGTTTGGAAATACAATTTCATGGCTTTAAAAGGTATGATATGCATCGACTCTTGGGATAAAATATGTCCTACAACTTTACCTGCCGTAAGTTTTAAAATAGCTAATGTACCAATCCATTTTTTTCTCTCTCTCTCTGGTCAAAATTCGCATTGCATTGTCACTCAGCATAACACCACAAAACTTTCATATCGATTTGATTATATGACCACAAATTTTTTTTTGTGTGGGGGGGGGGGGGGGGGAGGCTAATTCAAAATATAATTCCCTATTACACAAGCTTTTTGTATTTTTCATATATATATATATATATATATATATAGCCTTTATAAATAATATATAATATGACAATATATAATATGCCAATATTATTACAATTTAAAATGTAATTTATTCCTGTGATGGCAAAGCTAGGCTAAATTTTCAGCATCATTAGTCCAGTGCCACATGATCCTTCAGAAATCATTCTATGCTGATTTGCTGCTCATAAAACATTTCTAATTTGTATCTATGTTGAAAACAGCTGTGCTGCATTTTTGTGGAAAGCATGATGGATTTTTTTCCCCAGAAAAACAGAACTTATTTGATTTTTTTTTTGTTGCATTATAAATGTCTTTACGTTTGATCAATTTAATGTATTCTTGCTGAATAAAAGTATTAATTTATTTTTTACAGATAAGTGATAAACCTACATAGACTCTAAGCTGCTCAGTAATTAAAAGCTGACCTGTTATTTCTCTCGGTGGTGTATTAGGATGCAGTGCAGAGTCCTCAGAGATTGTATGTGTTATACTGACATCCAGTGGTACTGCAACAATGGACGTTGTTTACTGCCAATATTATATGCTCGACAAACAGGCATATTGTTTTAATCTGTACTCGACTTTTGCCTCTAACTCCGTGTCATTATCTAGAACACAAATTCAGTTTGGCTGAATCACTGGTGTTTGATAAACAAATATCGGAATAACATAAAACTAAAGAAAAACTCGAACAGCTAACGTTACATTTCTGCCACACTCAATATGGCAGACAACTACAGCCATAATTTCAACTTTGGGTATCAACGAGACGTAGTGACGTTCATGGGCAAAAGAAACCAAAACTGACTGAATGACATGTAAACTTAAGCGATGGAGGAAGCAAAATATATGAATTCTCGTTTTGATTTTAATATCAATTGACGCTGAATGCATGAGCGGTGCTCGTGCAGTTAGAGGATGTCGCGCGTTACAGCCGATCTGAGTTTTCAAACACTTATCGAGGTAGGTTTACTGTCAACACTAGCGAGGCAGATTGTAACGTTAATGTTTACTGAGCTAACAAGTGTGGTAGATGGGGAGAGTTATCTTTGTCATATTTGAATTGTACACTAGGTGGCAGTAGTAGCTCAGTCAAAGGAGTATGGGGGTATATAGCCGAGGAAGAATCTGCAGGCTCATGTTGTTGTACTGGCTGGTACTGTTTGTATGGATGTCCGGTGTTCAGTAAACTCCCAGATAAAGCTACCTCGATGTCTGCTGTGTATTGATTAGTACTGAGGATACTACATTTGGCGACGAGGATGGCGGTTGAGCTCGGAAGAAGCTTGGGAGTCAATCACGCGGAAATTTGACGGAAGTGGATTGACGAGGCAGCTAACGCTAACCAAAACGTCGAGATGGCTACGGCGATGGTAGGAACACTTACTGCTTTTGACAATCAGTCCCAAACATGGGAGGAATACGTCGAGGTATTGGGACATTTTTTCGTGGCGAATGGGATTGAGGATGAGGAAAAAAAGAGGGCAATATTGTTAAGCTCTGTTGGCAGTCGGACATACAGTTTAATGAGGAACTTATTGAGCCCGAATAAGCCTGGCGAAAAATCATATAAAGATTTGACAGACCTGCTGCAGTCACATTATAACCCAAAGCCCAGTGAAATAGTCCAAAGATTTAAGTTTAATTCGCGGACTAGAGCCGTGAATGAAACTGTGATGGAGTACGTGGCAGTGCTGCGAGAGCTCGCGCAACATTGCAACTATGGCGATAAGTTAAAAGAGATGCTACGCGACAGGCTCGTGTGTGGCATAGCGGACGATCGCATGCAGAGGAGATTGTTGGCGGAGCCTGAGCTCACATTTGAGAAAGCGTTAAAAGTGGCACTGGCCATTGAGACAGCCAATAGGGATGTCCGTGATTTGCAATTGAAAATTGTGGAGGGCGTCGGGAGTAATGTCAGTAATCAACTACTAGTGCATAATGTGGAGTCAAACCCAAGCCATAAATGGCAAGGAAAAGCAACACCATTGACATGTTACCGGTGTGGGGGTGAACATATGGCAAGAGACTGTCGTTTTGTCAATGAAAAGTGCCATGGCTGTGGTAAAAAGGGACATTTGAAGAGAGTGTGCAAATCCTCACCTCTGGCTGACCAGTGGCTTAAGGGGGAGGGAAGAGGGAAGCACAAGCAGTCTGGAAGGTTTAGGAACGATAAAAATCAGTTGGCGCATCACATAAGTGAATCTGTGGAGAATGTCACGAGTGATGAAGATGTATTTACGATGTACAATCTAACAGAGCCAAAGTTAACGAAAATCGATCCCATTACTGCACAGCTTAACATAAATGAGAACATTGTGGAATTCGAAGTGGATACTGGCTGTAGTGTGACGATTTTGTCAAAGGCTGCATATGACAAGTTATGGACCGCAGGGGACACCCAAGAGTTGCACGACTGTTCAATGACGTTGAAAACCTATACGGGCGAAAAAGTACCAACACTAGGAGTGGCAAGGGTGACTGTGAGGTTCCAAGACCAAGTCAAACAGCTACCAGTAGTGGTGGTAACAGGGCCAGGTCCAAACCTGTTAGGCCGAGCTTGGATCAAGGAGCTGGGAATTAACTGTGTCAGTATAAATAAGATGGAGCAGCAAGAGTTAACATTGCAGTATGTGCTACGGAAAAATGAAGATGTGTTCAAGGAGGAACTGGGTACTTGGAGAGGTCCACCTGCAAAAATTTACATTACCGAAGGGGTGAGTCCAAAGTTTTATAAACCTCGGCCCGTGCCCTATGCCATGAGGAAAAAGGTGGAGGTGGAGTTAGAGAGACTCACAAAGCAGGGGGTTATTGAGCCAGTGAAGTTCTCAGAGTGGGCAGCACCGATCGTGCCTGTGTTAAAAGCTGATAATTCTGTGCGCATTTGTGGTGACTATAAGCTCACTGTCAACCAGGTATCGAAGCTTGAGCAGTATCCAATACCGAAATTGGAGGACTTGTTTGAGAAGTTGTCAGGAGGAAAAAGGTTCAGTAAACTGGATCTGAGCCATGCATATCAGCAAGTGGTACTTGATGAGACATCTAAGCCATATGTCACTATTAATACGCACAAGGGTCTGTTTCAGGTGAATCGTCTTCCATTTGGTGTTTCCTCCAGTCCAGCCATATTCCAACGGATGATGGAGAGTCTGGTGGCCGGCATCCCGAATGTGGCCGTCTATCTGGACGACATTTTGCTGACGGGCCAGAGTGACCAGGGTCACCTTGCAACGCTGAACCAGGTGTTGACACGACTGCAGGAAGCTGGTCTTCGCTTGAAGCGCAACAAATGTGTGTTCATGGAACAGGAAGCAGAGTTCCTGGGTCATAAGGTGGACGCCGCTGGACTTCATCCTTTGCCACACAAGGTCAGGGCAATACAAGAAGCACCGGCACCGACTAATGTCACAGAACTGAGAGCGTACCTAGGACTGCTTAACTATTACAACAGGTTCCTGCCACACCTGTCAACATTGTTGTCGCCTTTACATGAACTATTAAGGAAAGAAACCACTTGGAAATGGAAGGGCGAACAAGAGCACGCTTTTGAGGAGTCCAAGCGACTCATGCTGTCGTCTGATGTGTTAGTACATTATGACAGCCAAAAAGATCTGATCCTGGCCTGCGATGCCTCTCCTTATGGTGTGGGTGTGGTGCTGTCGCATCGCATGCCAAATGGGCAGGAACGACCAATCAGTTTCCTGTCTAGGACATTAACGTCAGCTGAATTAAACTACTCCCAACTGGACAAAGAAGGTCTGGCCGTGATATTTGGCATTCAGCGGTTCCACAAATATTTATATGGAAGGAGGTTTGTCATTTGCACGGACCATAAACCGCTACTGGCTCTCTTTAATGAGATGAAGGCTGTACCTCAAATGGCTTCACCTCGTATACAACGTTGGGCAGTTGCCTTGAGAGCGTATGAGTATGAGATTGTTTACAAGCCCGGAAAACATCATGGCAATGCGGATGCGTTGAGTCGACTTCCTCTACCTCAGCCGCCTGTCACGAAAGAGCAGGAGGAGCGAGTGCTGATGTTGGAGAACGTGACTCTCGTCTCAGCAGCAGAAATGAGTAGATGGACAAGCAGAGATCCTGTGTTGTCCAGAGTGGCGCAATTCGTCCAACATGGTTGGCCGCCACCAGACGGAAATCCAGTTTTCCAACCATATGCTGTGAGGAAAACCGAGTTAAGTGTGCAAGGTGGATGTGTACTGTGGGGCTCACGAGTAGTGGTGCCGCCGCCAGGCCGGAACGCCTTGATACAGCAGCTACATCACGGTCACATCGGCATCACTAGAATGAAGGCATTAGCACGAAGCTACTTCTGGTGGCCCAAGTTAGATGCGGACATTGAAGTGGTCGTTAAAAGATGTGTAGCATGCCAAGAACATCGTAATTCTCCAGCTCCAGCACCTCTTCATCCCTGGGAGTGGCCGAGCAAACCCTGGCAAAGGTTACATGTTGATTATGCAGGACCTTTTATGGGACACATGTTTTTGGTTCTGATGGACGCGCATTCCAAATGGATGGATGTGTACCCGGTAACGACCTCAACTTCAGCCAGCACGATTGAATGTCTAAGGAAGAGCTTTAGCAATCAAGGAATACCGGAGACAATGGTGTCCGATAACGGCTCATGTTTTGTGAGTACAGAATTCCGAGAGTTCATGCAGAAGAATGGGATCGAACACATCACTTCTGCTCCTTATCATGCTTCCTCTAATGGTTGTGCTGAACGCGCAGTCCAGACATTCAAGGCGATGATGAAGAAGGCAGGTGAGGGAAGCCTAGCCACTAAAGTATCACGGGTGTTATTTAGTTATCGCATTACACCACAGTCCACTACGGGGCTGTCGCCTGCTGAAATGTTACAAGGCAGGAAGTTGAGATCGACATTAGACTTTATTCATCCGGACCGCCGAAGGAGGGTGGAACGGCAACAGAGCTTTCAAAAGAAACATCATGATAAGCAAGGTTCCGGGAGAAGTTTCCAGGAGGGAGATGCAGTGATCACAAGGAATTTCAGTCATGGACCTAAGTGGATTCCCGGGTTCATTATCAAGATGACAGGTCCTGTCTCTTACAAGGTCATGTTAGGAGGTGGCAACATTGTGCGCAGACATGTCGACCAGATATTGGCCAGTTCTGAGGATAAGGACTGGATGGAACCAAAGATTCTGGAACCCTTGGGGTTGTCTGAATCTTCAGCGGCAGCTGTGGCAGCATCAGAGATATCCATTCCCGAGGAAACCTGCGTTGTTCCAGAGACAATCACTCAAAGTGTGGAAAAAACTTTTTCAGAAAAGGCCAAACCAGTAGTGATGGACTTTCAACCTCCAGGTACTCCAAGGCAGTCACTATCCTCGATTGCCCCGGTACGCCGGTCGTTGAGAACTGTTTCGAAACCAAGTTATTTGAAGGACTATGAGTGTTAAAAAAAAAAAAAAAAAAATTTTTAAAGTTAAATATGACTGACACATGTTAAAGTGATGTTGGGGGTTTGGAAGAAGGCAGGAGCTTAAGGGGGAAGGAATGTGGTAGATGGGGAGAGTTATCTTTGTCATATTTGAATTGTACACTAGGTGGCAGTAGTAGCTCAGTCAAAGGAGTATGGGGGTATATAGCCGAGGAAGAATCTGCAGGCTCATGTTGTTGTACTGGCTGGTACTGTTTGTATGGATGTCCGGTGTTCAGTAAACTCCCAGATAAAGCTACCTCGATGTCTGCTGTGTATTGATTAGTACTGAGGATACTACAACAAGCTAATTATCGGTAGTGCATCGAGATCAAAACTGAGCCAGATGATAATATACTGAACTAGATATTTCAATATGAGCAGCTGTCCGATCAGCTATCATGATAACTCCCTCGGGGATCTCCTTTCAGAATCTTCAGTCAAATTTTGTTTACTTTGCGTTTGATATTGATGATTAAATAGGTTACCACAGTTTTGTTGAAAAAAAAAATTAACTATATTGGTTACCATATTAATCTTCTATTAGTGAAATTTGTCTTGTTGACGTTGTGGTGCATCAGACAGGATCCTGTTGTCACTATGTCCTGATCACTATCTTGACATTTTCTCAATAGTGTAATTACTGCTACCCAGATGATGTGCTTGATGACATCAAAGATGTGTCGGCAGTTTTCCCAAACCTGCAGCTATACGTGGACTATTATCGTAAGTTGATATTTGAAAGCACAGCAGTGGTCTAGAACAGATCTTTGTCTGTGTAGCAGGGGTAGTTTGGGTTATTTCACCCAAAAATGAAAATTCTGTCATATTTTACTCACCCTCAAGTCGTTCCAAACTCGTAGGACTTTCTTTCATCTTCGGATCACAAATGAAAATCTTTTGAATGAAATTTGAGAGCTTTCTGTCCCTCCATTGACAGTCCACGCAACTGACTTTGACGCTTCAAAAAGTTAATAAAGAGATCGTAAAACTAATCCATATGGATTGAGTGTTGAAGAGACACAATCACTTTATATGATGAACCGATTTAATTGAAGCTTTTATTCACATATAAACATTAATCAACTCACACATCAGTTATGGTAAACGGAAGCACACAAGCATGTTCGCTCGACGTGCAAGAACCAATGAGGTTTATTCTCGTGTGTTATGCACCACTTCGAGCTTCCGCAAGAACCAATGAGGTTTATTCTCGTGTGTTACGCAGCACTTTGAGCTTCCGCAAGAACCAATGAGGTTTATTCTCGTGTGTTACGCAGCACTTCGAGCTTCCGCAAGAACCAATGAGGTTTATTCTCGTGTGTTACGCAGCACTTTGAGCTTCCGCAAGAACCAATGAGGTTTATTCTCGTGTGTTACGCAGCACTTCGAGCTTCCGCAAGAACCAATGAGGTTTATTCTCGTGTGTTACGCAGCACTTTGAGCTTCCGCAAGAACCAATGAGGTTTGTTCTATTTCGTTATAGCACGTATGGTTAAACTTCTCTTTATGTTCGCTGATCTGTTATGTGAATAAAATCCTAAATTCAATCTGTTATATTAATCCATCGAACAAAAAAACAACAGTTGCTAACACTTAAACTAAAATTATATATACATTTAAACAAATTAATTTTTTTAATAAAAAAGTAGTAGTTAAATGGATTATGGCAGTCGTTTCATGTAAATAAGTAGGGGAGATCAGGGCTAGTTGTCACACAGGAAAATATTGTCATAACTAAGGCTAACTATGAGTCAAATGTCTAATTACAGAAATGTCTTTTTTTCTAACAGTGGTTTTCAAACACATTTGTTCAAACCCCGCTTAAATTGAAATGCTTTTTGTGACTTAAACTGAAACTTAATATCACCAACAGAACAGTGGACACAATAAAACCACAATGGCATACATGCAGAGAAGAGTTGCTGTTCCATGAATTGCTTTGTGTTTCATAATTACTGTTTATATTTTGCCAATAATAGCCTTCTGAAAGGCCTGTAATAGTTTACATACCCTGCAATCGGGGGGTATTGTCGTACAAGTTCAGCATGTTTCTTTTTTTACAAAAAAATAACAGCGAGCTATGTTATAAATTATGTTCAATAGCATTTTTGCTATTTAGCAAGACTATGAAAATGCTCTAACAAATCCACACCACAACTATAATGAAAACGACACTAAGGAACAATATATATGAAATCACTGAACAAAAGTATTAATTTATTTTATTTAATCTTTATTGTTATTGCATGGTAGTGTAGTAATCTTTATAGTTTTAGTTCTTGGTGTGAATTGACCTTACGGTTTGTGCCTATACAGAAATTGACTATTGAAAGGATTGAACACTGATAAATATTGACTGGGGTATACAGATTATCCCTGTCTTCTCTATAAAATGAAAACTCTTAAAAACAAGTGTATAACAGATATGTAGAATTTTTGCTTACTGTGCGCATTTTCTTGCATGTGTATTTGCTGAGTTCGGTTGTCTTCTCTTTTTACAGTCTATCCCAACAATGATAAGAGGAAGTTGGTTTATTTGGGTGGCACTGTTCCTGTAACATATGAAGGTAACTGGTTTCAGAAGATCTACTGTAACATAACTCATCCCTTCCCATGTTTATATTGTTCTTTATTTATTTTATTGGCTTTCCACCAACTGAAACTCATATAGTATGTTTTATGTTGTTACAAAGACTCCAAGTACAATATTCCAGTTTGCATCTGGATCCACGAGACCCATCCCAAAAATCCACCCAGGTGTTACGTCTGCCCTTCACCCTCCATGGTTATCAATGCTAAAAGCAGCAATGTTGATGACCATGGTCGCATTCTTCTCCACTGTCTCAGCAACTGGAAGATTGTAAGTCTGTTATGTAGTTATTTCACCATTACTTATTTGAAGTTAATCATTTATATTTGTCACTCTGGGTTTAAATGTTTGATTTCCAGGGGTGGTCAAACTTGTCTATAGTTCTGGAGGAGATGATTGCCGCCTTTCAGCGCGAAACTCCTCTATTTGCCACCTATTCTGTCCAAACCCCTCCACTACATTCTCAAGCAAAGCACCTGCCGACTGAACTGGTAGTTCAACCAAATCCTGTTTCATCCTATGGCAGGTCAGTGCTTGTTTGAGTTGCAGCTTAGTCATTCTTATCAAAAGCATTTGGCCTCAGTCTCTCAGTTTATCACCTTTTTAATGATCAGTGGTACTGATGTTGTCTTCAATTTTCTTTTTTGTTGTTTGCGCAGCAGCTGGCCACATACAAGCAGCAGTTCAATGCAGAAGACGTCAACAGCTCAACACGAAACGTCCACTTCATCTGTGCCTCAGCATACCAGCAACAGTAAACATTGATTTTTGTGCTGAATATTAGTCTTGCATAGATTGTTCACTACTTCAGATTTTCAGTTTTATGCATTTTTTTACTCTCTATATACCATTGTTATTTTAGCATTATTGAGATACTATTATAGTTTTTATTAATTTGTGTTTATTTTTAAATTTTCTGTTTTAATTTTAATTTTAGTAAAAGTATTGTAAATGTTTTTGCAATTTTTATTAGTTTTCGATATTTTGCTAATATGTCTTTGTAGTTTTTATTCTCTTTTTTCTTAGTTTTAGTTATTTTTAGAAAATGAAAAATGTTCTAAAATACGTTTTTAATCTTTTTTCTATTTTTATTTTTTATTTCAGTTAACTTTCCAATTTCAAGTAACAAAAATATTTTCTTATGGTTTTAGGTTTTAGTTAACTATAATAAGCCAAGTCGTTCACAGTCATCACTGTAATGTGTCGAAATGACAGCTGAATTCATACTTGCATTGCCCATCTGATCACCACAGTTCAGTTTGTCAGAGTATGTAAAAGCCGAAATCTCCATCTTGGAAGCAGAAAGCAGGCAGCATGCTGATCCATTACAGTTTCCGAGATTATCGATTTAGTCTTATGAATTAATGTTTCAGACTTTCACTTTTTATTCCTGGCTAACCGTAATGTTTCCTTCACTAGTCCTACCCAAGAGTACAAAGTCCCAGGTGAACCTGAATCAAGTCAGTGAAACAGAGATGAGTGGGGTAAGGAGATCATACACGCAAGAGTTGCTGGATTTTGGAATCACATTTGGTGCACAAGCTTTGGACACCAACCACCAAACAAACCCATTCATTTCTCCTGCCTCAGGTAATATGTTTTTTGTTTGTTTTTTGGAATTATTCAGCAGTGATATTTTAAAACGCCCTTTGTACAGTTATGAATTAATAAAAGATTACCTCTGCTTCAGCTCCCACCAGCAGTACTTCTAATGTAGATGACATAGACGACATGTTCAAAAGCCTTCAGTTACAAAGAGTTGTCAACGTGTACCAGTTAAGCAACAGGGAGAAAGGTAAATTACACATCATTTAACCTTGTTTTTAAAGACCTCAAGATGTCAATATTGGAGTTTTGTGGCTTTTTGTGCTAGTATACTCTTAAAATATGACAAAATAAAAGTCTTACCTTTCTCTTCCAGTGAAACTTTTTTCCAATCAAATTATCATTATTATTATTTCCTTTTAAAATAATTTATGACATATCACTTCTGTCCGAACAAATGAACAGACTAAGAAAACTATTTAAAATTGTCTTAATAATAAAAAATACTATGGCATCATATTAGGTTTGAAACCTTTCATATAAACACATTTTATAAATATCATTAGTTTTAAAACTTTTGTCCATCAATTTGTATACTCTTAAATGTCAGAGTGGCACAACTGCAAACATGGCTCTTTTATTATGAATTGACAATGTAAAACCAGTAAACATGATCATGCATCATCCAGAGGAGCCCAACTGATCCTTATGGCAGAATGAAATGATTTGTAGATCTCTCTCAAATACTGGTAAAAACTTCTAATTTCAAGTATGGGTAGGTTGGTACACTTTCATGTCAGGTGGTAAAACTACAGTATGTATACATACAACTATTTGGCTGTACCACCTGACATAAAAACAGTAAAAAAAAAAAAATTAAACATTTTGAAATGTTATTTAACAACGGAAACTTGTTCATGACTAGTATGTATTGTGAAAAGCGCTATACAAATAAATTTGAATTGAATTGAATTGAATGACTCAAAAATATGCATTACATCATTTTTGAAAATATATATTTTTTTTTACTTTTTTGAAGCTATATTTGTCAATGACACACATGTACTGTATATATAGTGTGTATGTGTGTGGTCTGATGGCCACAGAATGTGGACAGTGTGGACAGAACAACCTTATACAGTAGCTCACAGTAGGTCTATCTATAACTGTTTATAAGTTATTGTTAAATGTCAATTGCCCTATGGAGATAGTGAATGGGATTTTTACTTTACACTCTACATCTTCCGCAGACGAAAAAGTAGCTAATCAAGATTCATGGCTATAAAGTAGCTTCAATATGTCCCACCCAGATCGTTTAACTGGATTATAATTGAGCTTGAACTGTCCAATTGCTGGACATTCATTGTCTGAATTTAAAACATATGTATTGAACAGTATGTATGTTCAACGTAACATGCAAGTGATTGTAACCAGGGTTCTAAATTAACTTTTAACTTTCTAAAGTAACGAGCCATTTAGAATTTCCACTAGCCAAATTTTTTCCGGTGAAAATAAGAGAAATTATGAGTGCCACTGAATGCATTTGATAATTGTATTAACATTGTTGGCATGAAAAACACATATAAAGTACAATACAAGACAGAAAGTGCAAACATTTCATTTCAAGTTTGGGATCTATCTCTATTAGGGATGTGCACGAATATTCGAATTTTCGCTCTGTAATTATTATTAAAAAAATAAAATACTAATACTAATACTTTTTTTCTTCAATTTTTTTTCGCAGTTATAATTAAATGCACTGGGTGGAGCATTTAACAAGTGGATTGTGTTTTTGATCACATAATGTCGTTGTCTGCCTCGCGAAGTTTGGAATTACTTAGATGAAAATGATAGCCTATTACAAAATGGAATTACGTTTAATCAATTATTAATTATTATTATTATCATAATATCACCACCACAATGAGAAATCACATGAAATCCAAAGAAACAGCAGTCGACTGAGGAAGCAGCTGTCCATCACTGCATTAACGACTGCAGGTCAGCAGCTGTACCCCGATATCTTCTGGTAGCAAAATGATTTTGACATATGCTTCCTTTAAGTTTCGTTGAGGGAGACAGGTTTAAGAACAGAAAACGCAAAGTGCTGTTACTTCACTTTGCACACACACACGCGCGCGCGTCTCTGCAACGCCTGTGTGTCAGCGCAGCGCGTTTTCTCACTCGAGCATGTGGATATTATTGTTTTTCTCAACATGAACGTGAAACAATATAAACACGATAATCATATGCTGACTCGAGTTGGCTGACTACGTTCTGTACGATAACTGCGCAGTCTGCTTTTTTTTTTTTTGCGTTTTTTCCCCGTTTGCGCTGCCTGAGCTTAAATGCTTTTGTTGTTTATATATTTTGTTTACACATATTGTTTAATGTTTTCAACTAAAAGAAAACCTTAAGATATATAGTAAGCTTGTTGTGTATAGGCTATTGCCTAATGTATAAGCTTGTAAGAAATAATTAAACTTAATAATAACCTTAAACTTAAAAAAAATAACGTAGGCTATCTCTCGTTAAACGACATTTAAATTTAAACCCAGAAGTCTGTCCCAACCACCGCCGCATTTAGTTTAATCTTAACTTTTTACTTTAGCTACTTTACTAGCTCCCTCCTCTTTCAGTCTGCTCCCTGCTCTGGCTCGTTCTTCATCTTCCTTGTGTTTTCTGGTGGACGGACGCGTACGCTCCGTTTGTTTCCATGATCATTTCTCGCGCTGGTTTCACTGCAAACTGCGCGCAGCCAATGGGCGTATGAAACGTCATCACATAGCATTACGGCACAGTGTTTATGGGAAATGTAGGAAGTACTGCCAGGGGGATTAAATGACCGAGAACAGAACCTTATGCATCACCGGCCAAACTGGCTAGTAAGTTTTTATTAACACCCGCCAAAATGAATTTTAACCCGCATTTGGCGGGTTGGCGGGTGTTAATTTAGAACCCTGATTGTAACGTTGTTCCAGTTTGTACTGGTGCCTCTTACACACATTGTGTAAAATAATGCTAACGTTACACTGAATTAAAATTGACTTTAATTCTCTCATGAAGGACCGTGGCAGGATTGCGGTGGGAGTCCCAGGGTTCACCCAGGATTAGTGGACGACCATCACAAGGTGGTGGTGAGCAGGCTTCCTGTGGGCATCTCTCCCAGCAAGATGAAGAACAAGCTCACCATCTACTTCCAGAGAAAGCAGAATGCAGGAGGAGAGGTTCTGGATGTCAAATACCCTGCAGCGCAGCCAGACCAGGCCTGGGTGCTCTTCAGAAATCAGAGAGGTACTATGGGACATAACTTGTAACCAACACTAAACAAACAGTTACTATTTCAATGAAAGGTTTTAATGTTTTGTGTTTTCCCAGATGCAGAGCATGTTCTGAGGCAGCCTGACAGGGTGATTAGCATTAACGAGCAGGGATTTCTTATTCAGCTGAAGAAGTTTGAGGACATGGAGGTAAGAGAAGGCCAAAAGCAAGATAGCCTTTTTCACCTATTTTTCACTCACCCATTTTGTACAGGATTGAACTATACAAAGAACCTACTGTCAGATCCCAGGTGGTGTCCAAGGTGAGAAAGCCGAAATGTTTAAGAGCATCTTGAGTCTGGAGGGGTGCAGTTTCAGCTCCACAGATGTACTGGAAGCAGTGCAGTCATGCCGAGACCTCCCTTCTGCTCTGAAATATCTCTGCCACGATTGTCCTATATGCCAGGAGCAAGTTTCCTTCAACAGGGTGAGAATAAGTGAATTTTGTTCTTGACCTAAAAATATGGAGCCAACTTGAAATTGTTATTTACCTCAAATGATCATTATGCATTCTATTGATATTTAATGATAATAATTAATACACTACCGTTCAAAAGTTTTGGGCCAGTAATACATTTCGTTTTTTAATGAATGAATACTTTTATTCAGCTAGGTTGCATTCAATTGTTTAGAAGTGACAGTGAAGACATTTATAATGTTACAAAAGATTTATATTTCAAGTAAATGCTGGTCTTTTGAACTTTCTATTCATCAAAGAATCCTGAAAAAAATGCATTGGGTTTTCTCAAGAAATATTAAACAGCACAATTTTTTTCAACATTGATAATAAGAAATGCTTGAGCAGCAGTTCAGCATATTAGAATACATCTCTGAAGGATCAAGTGACACTGACGACTGGAGTAATGATGCTGAAAATTCAGCTTTGCTATCACAGGAATAAATGACATTTTAAATGATTAGAGTTGTTTTAAATAGTAATAATATTGAATAATATTGTTGTTTTTACCGTATTTTCAATAAAATAAATGCAGCTTAGTGAGCATAAGAGACTTCTTTCAAAAAAAAATTTTTTTTTAAACGTTTGAATCGTAAAATATATTTTTCTATTTATTATTATTCACTTATTATTGTAATGATCATATTACTATGGTTATTACAATATTTAATAATAATATCATTAAATGATTATGATTACTGCAAATTCAGGACTTAATTTTACAGAACATTTATTTTTAGCATGAAACTCTCTCTCTGGCCCCAAGACATTCAGCAATCCTTATTGTTTAGCCCTGATATTAGTTATGTAAGGGTTAATCCACGGCTAGCCATGCATTAAAGGATTTTAATGCACGACGTAGAGGCGAAGAACCACCCGACGCGAAGCGGAGTGTAATGTAATTTTACTGTAAAAATACAGTGTAAGTTTTTAACAGATGTGTAAAAATTACGGTTATTTTCCTAAGTTACGGCTCGTTAGTTCTAGCACTCCGTCCGCTTTAAATAAAGTGAATGAATTATCACATTTATTTAAATTCATTATTAAAAGAGAGAGACAGAGAACTGAAAGAGAAGGAACAGAGAGAGAGAGAGAGAGAGAGAGATGCATGCGCGAGTTACCTGTGTGCGTCTCTTCTTTAAAGTCTACAGTCCCCTCGTTGCTTAACCATATAGCTAACTTAATGATTCTTTTATGGATTTATTAAAATTGATTTACAATTTATGAATGACAGGCAACACTGACAGTGACAAGGCAATCTTTATTTGAACTAATCATGTCATTTATTTAAATGAATTAGCTGTATATCAAACCAAACTTTTCTTACAAGTCCTGTGGGTGTGAAAGGGGAGAGTGCGGGTGCATTTCAAATTTTCTCCAAGTCAGACTCAGTACTACGCGGATGATGAACGCTGGTGTCTTTTCCATTTTTCCTGTAGGGCTTTAAAACTGATTGCTTGCTTGCTGCATTGCTTGACATGAAGTCTTTATCACTTATGATGTTGTATTTTGTAATGTGACGTTTTAGACCTGCTCTGAGACACATCAAACTTGCAACACACTGTATTCGCGTCCAGCGGTAGACTGAACAGAGGCATAAAACTCCCGCAATGTCTCATTTAAAAGAGAAGCAGAGTAGGTCTCGAAATCACAATTGTTCTGTCTTTGGCGCAAAAAGTCACTTAAAGTGTTAACTGCCCATTTAGTTGTCTTTTTAGTATTGACCTCATCTTTGTCGTCTTCGACCATATCTAGCTCTGTCTGTGTTAATTCTTTGTGCCGCTTTTTGTCATTCAACGTCTTCTCCAAGTCTTCTATTTCGTCTTGTGCCTGGGCCCATTTCTCAAAATTGCCATATTCACCATACAAATTAAACGATATGCAAAAATCATCCATTTAGCCTATCTAAATAAATGGTTTCATATGTGTCTCTCTCTCACTCTGTTTGCAAGTGGAACTGTGTTACTATGGTGACCAATGTTTATAGTAGCGGATTAATTTCGAACTGTAATCAAACTGACTGGAACTACCTGTGCATTAAACGGTTTTACGGCACACCTTCCAGCCAATCAGAATCGAGTATTTAAGCAGCCCGTGGTATTGTACACATGAGGATACTACACTGTAGGATATATCTCTTTCATAGTCCTAAATGTAGTATCTGCCTCTCTTTTCCTCTTCAGATGGTCACCATGACACACTGCTCTTGCACATTCTGTGAGAGCTGTTTTAAGAAGTACTTCTCCTCTGTCATTAAGGAGAAGAATATAGTACATGTTGTGTGTCCCCTCTGTAATCTTCCCGATGTACGAGGAGGCCGCAGGGAGGAGTCTATGGAGTATTTCAGTCTACTCGACACACAGGTGTGGAGCTTTTTTTACCTTGTGCCTGATTTATTGAAATATAGACCATATGAAATTGAATATAGAATATGACTAACTGTAAATGTTTTTGTTTGTGTAGATCAGGTATTATTTAGACCCCCAGATCCACGAGCTCTTCCAGAGGAAGCTCAGAGACCAGGCACTGCAGGAAATGCCCAACTTCCGCTGGTGTGCACATGTAAGTTCCATCATTCACAGATTGTTTTATGCTGTATAATGTCAGGTCTGACCATGATAGCAATTTATGTCTGTTTATATTTTTGTAAAGTTGTCACTGTTTTTTTTTTTAGTGTTGCTTTGGGCTCCTTCATGAAGCAGACAGGCTGAGGATGGACTGCCCCAGCTGTGGGAAAAGCACATGCTTTCAATGTAAAAGGCCGGTAGGTTTTGCTTTTGCAAACCATAATTTAATGTTTTGCATCTTATGCCTTAAGCTACGTTCAGACTGCAGGCAGAAGTGGCCCAAATCTGATTTTTTCTGCTCATTCTTGACTCAGATCTGTTTTTTTCATAACAGTGTGAACAGCACAAACCATCGATTCTGATTTGGGCCACTTTCTTATGTGTTCCTAAATCAGATACAGGTCTGGGGCCGTATTCACAAAACATTTTATCTTACCACTTAGAGTTCTCCTAAATAGCAGTAAAAGTTCTTGAGAGTTTTCTCTTAAAACCTATTCACAAAGCTGCTGAGACCATCTTTTAATAAGCAATAGAGAGAAGTCTTAAGCTAAGACAAAAGGGCGGGGTTGACCTCGTTGCTATGGATGATCTCAACATGCTTACTAACTACGACCACAGTGATTGGCTGATTGGTCTTTGTCAGTGATTTAATCATAGAAATATTGTAGAATGAGGTATCATGTTGCCATATTCAAATTAATGTTTTAAAATAAAATGTTGCCATATTCAAATAAAGGTTTTAATATAAAAATGTTGTCATATTCAAATAAAGATATTAAAATCTAGGCTAAGTGTCACTAATTAAACGAGTTCAGCTAATTGTCAGCCTCTTACATTGTCTACATCTTGAGATATTGAATTCAGGTGATAAATTATGTTTTATAAACAAAGCTCAAGAGGATCGGGGCATATGTATATACACAGCCGACTCACCTAGTTACCTCGACAGTTTTCTGCATCCCTCCGCCACTCCGCCACCCCGACTCCTCACTCTCGGCTGGTTCCTATCCCCAGCCGGGGATACGGGGGAGTATTCTGGGTTTGGACTAAATTCCGAGCTCGGAGCCCTCGATCCCCTCGGACAGCACGACAAAAAAGCACTTATTTTACTTTTTTACTCTATTCGATTACTTGTAAGTGTAAATTTGTGAAACAACTGCTACAGGTAATGGGGCAATATTTATTTATTTTTGACTTTTATTATGATAGGACAGTGAATATATAGGAAGCGAAGTGGGAGAGAGAAAGAGGGGACGGGATCGGGAAAAGTCCACTAGCTGGAACTGAAACTCATTTCACCTGAGCTTCCCAAAAGGCTATTGGCTCTGACAATGGGACATTATTTTCAACTCGATTGCAGTGCTTTATTCTACATAATCAATGCATATTGCCTATACATAAATGAACCTTTATGTTATGTCATCCCAGATTAAAGTCTATAAATCAAAATATTGATTGCATTTATGAAGAAAAGGTTCAGCACCCAAGGCTCTATCACCTATTGCCTCGATAGTGTACAATGTCTTTGGGCGGATTTTAGGATTGTTTGTGATTTGGTCTTAGTGATTTAGGAGTCCTCTTGACTACCTCTAACTTTTCACAGATTTAGGAGCTGGTTTTAGCGCTAAAATGCTTTGTGAAATACTCTTAGAGCAAAAATTTAGGAGTCCTACAAATAGGACTGAGTCTGACACACCCATTATTTTTAAGAGTTTCTCCTAAATCGGCAAGTCAGGAGCTACTTAAGCCTGATGTTTTGCAATGCGACCTCAGTCTGAACAGTCATATCAGAATTCATTCAACTTTTACGTCACTCTAGATCAACATTAATCACAAATCTGCGCTGATGGGTGTCATTCAAAAGATTTTACATACTGGTAGTTCTTTGTTTGCTCAGTGAATATGGAAGACGGAAGCGAAGTTAGTCAGTTATTATATTAAAAAAAAATGTTTTTGTGACGTTGCTAGAAAGAACGTGAACTGGGGCTATTGAAAATGGTTGCCAGACAAGTACACATCTGAACTAAACAATTCTTAGGCTGTTTCTCAAAATGCATTCTTAGGTGATCTTACATCCTTGTGTTTTTGTACTACCTCATCATCAACTGTCAAAGTCTGTTTCCAATACTCAAGAACACAAGTACAGAGAACACATGAAAGTACCTGGATGTGTTCTTAATATCGAGGATGCATCAAGTATAGACTTGAGAGTATTGAACGGTTAAAAATCCCAGAAGTTATCTCAGGCGGACTACGTACGGAAGCCTGTAAGCTTGTTCTCACTCACGAGATTCCTGCTGAAAGCTCGTAAATACGTGACGGCTCATGAAAGCAAACATTTGTTGTTTTGTTTGGCATAATTTTAATAAAGTTATAAATACCTGGAGAAAGACTGTAGTGCTTTTTAATTGGCACATTTAAAAGAATCTTAAAGTTGACAAAGCGTAACATTAAATATACGTACTCATTTACACAAATACTCATTAAAAATATATCAAATAATAGCAGTTATGCAAGGTCATTTTTCAATATCTGTGAAGTTATGTTTTATTTATTGTGTATTGGATGGTGCTGTCCCACTGCCTAAAATGTGCTGAACGGTCAGTTGAGCAACAAGCTCACAGCACATCTCAATTCACACAAAGATGCGTTTTGTGTCCTTCCTAGTTTGTTCTTTCAAGGGAGCCTGGCAAGAGCGGTCTCTGCGAGAATGCAAGTCCGTTCTTTGCATTCTTAGAATTGAGAAGCAGCCTTATTGTTGATTCCCTGCATTGTGATTGTACTTGGTATCTCATATTTATGGATGCTGTTGATCTGATGCTTGTTTTCTAGTGGGCTCCACAGCATGAAGGAATCTCATGTAAGAAGTTCAAAGAGTGGGAGCAGCTCAACAGCCCCGAGTACCAGAACTCAAGGCTGGAGCAGCTCCTCAGCAGGAACAAAATAGGTAAAACAAAAACTCTCAATGAGGGTTCTTGGTGCAAAAGTTTCTTGTTGGAACTTTTTACCAGGTTGTAACGTTCTCCATGTCCCTTTCAGACTGTCCAAAATGCAAATTTCGCTTCTTCCTGGCTAGAGGAGGCTGTTTGCATTTCAGATGCACTCAGTGCCAGCACGAATTCTGTGGAGGCTGCAGTCAGCCATTTAAACAAGGCTCTGTAAGTTTAGTTCTCTCAGCAGTTGTCAGTGTAGTTACCACAGAGCTCTGTATCAATTAATTAGCATCTGTTGTCCTTACAGGCCTGTAATTTTTCAATCGAGTGCACAGCTAAAGGGTTACATGCTCACCATCCTCGAAACTGCCTATATCATCTGAGAGACTGGAGTGTCCCGAGACTACGGACCCTGCTGCAGGTGACAGACCTCTCTACTGTAATCTAGCATAAGGGCCCCGATATACTTCAAGCGAAATCAAAGAGCAAACTGGTGTGATGTCATTTCGATCAAAATGAGGCCAAAATTAAGTTCATTTCAGGAGTTCAAAATAGCTCACCAAAGCTGGTAAACACCTTCGAACTACCATGGCGATTACGTAACGGGTAGGTGTGCTGTGAGGCTCCGCCTTCTTTGACGTGGAAATCTTCTCCAGTTCATTTCTTCTATTCAGTCCGTTGAGATCAGATGCATATAAAACATGAACGCACTGGAAAGCTGCTTCATAGTAGAAAATTAAGTTGACACTGTCACTGTTTTTCATGTTTAATACTGTAAAGCAATACATTGTATAACTTGGATTATAAATAAACATGACGTGACTTGACTACTCGAGTGCTGAACTGCTAAGCTCGTGCAAACATATCTGTGTCGCAATGATCAGATGTTTTTTTAACTGCTGTTTTCTCACCGCTGTCATTTTTGTTGTGTTTGTTATTCAAAGAAATAATACATATTACATATTCATCTAAACACCGCTCTCAGCAGTATGGGTGGCGTCAGATGTTCACTAACAGTATACCGCTGCTCATGTATTTCAAACTTCTTTTTACCCCTAAGCGAAGAACGAAAAAGAACTTCATTGTGAGTTTATCGGGGCCTTAAACCCTAAACATCCATCATACCCTGCCGCCGTTAAAATTGGCTGAGCTACATTTATTCATCTTTTCAGCACTATGGGATATCACATCCTCTCATGTTCAGCCGCAAAGATTCGGTGGGGAGACACTCTAAAGGTACATCATTTGAAATAAGCCTACGTGTGAATATCGGATGTTTAAATGTCACATTTCAGTGCATATTCAAATGTGTCCTTGTAGGCATCTGTGGTGTAATGGAGGTCCAAGAAACAGGAGCTGTGAAAGAGGAGCCATGTGGTCGACAAGCCGAGTACAATGGTTACTGCACGTAAGGAGAACTTACTTTGATAATCCTTTATCATTCTGTGAAATATGTTCTTTCATAAATGCAAACCCAGAGATTTTCTCAAATGTTATGCTCACTTTTAGGTTACATTATAAAGAGTGTCTGGTGGAGCTTATAAACAACAGTGCACTGGATCCTTTGGTACTGTTTGATGGTGCGGAGTTGAGGGTAGAAATGGACCGCTGGAAAGTGCCAGTCCCAGACAAACAACCTTTAGAGCCGGATCACCGGTACGAGGACAGACTGCGGCAGGTTAGTGCTTACTGGATTTAAAGCATTCATGTTACTATGCAGTAGACCAAAGCATCATTTGTGCACTGTATAGTTAAACTGTCATATTCTGTCGTTTGAGATAACAATGGTTATTGTGCATAATTTCAATAACATTTTGACATTCAAATAAGGGAGTTCTAAGTGAAAGAAGATCATTTCTGGTTCTTTAGCTAACGTTGGCATCGCTTTTCTTTATGTACTTTAAGTACAAATACCACAACGATGTTAGACGGCCCACACCATAAATAAACAGTTTTTATAGAAAACTATCATGAATACAGTCTCATATGAGCGTGCACCATTCAAATGACTTTTCACAAAAATACAATTTATTTCTTAATGTGTAAAACTTTTAAATTGGCACCAAACTACTGAATGTACCTTTAAAATGATGCATAAAAGTGAAGAATTTATAATAATATATTAATAATAATTTACACATTTTGTTATACCTAAATATTACATTTATACATTTGTAATTATTTTAATAATTTAAAAAATCTAAAAATGATTTGTCATTCTACCTAGCAGTATTTGTTTGCAAAGTCTTCAAAGAAATATAGTCATACTTACAGTACATATACAAGCTCACACTGTGATATGAATAAAACAATGATATTGTTGGTTGCAATTATGACAATTAAGCCAGTTAGCCAAAATGTTATGATTGTGACTGCTTCATATCATATCAAGTGTTGTATCCTCTCAGATCTTAAAAGAGAGGGTGGGTCTGACCAGAGTTGCAGCTCCTGGATTGAAGACAGCTGCTCTTCCCACACCGTCCCCCTCTTCTCCTCCTGTGGCTGGAGCTCCGTGGTACTCCATCTTGAGCCGTGCCGTACCTGAGGAATCCCAGCAACTATTGCTGCTGACTGATTGAAGAGCATGGACTGTATATGCAATTTTGCTGTCACTATTAACACCAACAAATTGGCAAATCTCTGGATCAAGCCAAATTGTTCTTCAATACATTATTATGGAGAAAAAAAGAAAGTCTTTCTTACCCTTACACAATTTTAATGTTATGTCAGTGGAAAATTATGCCTTAAAATGAGCAGAGCAACCAGCAATGACATATTTTTATCCGTTTTTACAATATAAGCACTGAAGTTTCTGTATCATACTTATAGTCACTTCACATAACCTTACTTCTGTTAAAGCTTGTGATTTTCAAAACGTCTGAAGTTCTCTAATTGTTGGCTGTGAGTATCTACTCATACTTGTTTTAACTGTTTTATATTAATTTTTTAAGTCAGCATACAGTATATGCATTATACTAAGCACAAGTTTGCACTTTTGGCCTTTGTGAAATGGGTATTAGCATGATCTGTAAGAAGTGTGAGAGGTTATGTGTTGCAAAGATTATTATTTTCTGTGTGAATAACGGTGAATAAAACATTTATTTTCTCACAGTCTCATTTTTTTTCTGTTTATGAATGATGAAATAACATGGCTGTTAAAACCAAAGCCTAACAAGTTTTTGTGTGTGTGTATTTTCAGCTGCCAGAAATATTTGTGAATTTTTATTTTTTTTGTATTAGAAGTTTTTCCAAGAAAGCTGGCATTGGAGCTGTTTACTGTTGGAATCACTCCGCTTGTCTGTATTTGTCCGTGCCAGACAGGCGCTCTCTCAGCAGGTTACATTGTTACGCCAGTGGGTAGGAGAAAGTGGCTTTTTGTGTATTATTTATCAGTGAGTCGGTGATTAATTTACTAAATCGATTCATGCAAAACACTCATTCGGAAGCAACACTACTGTGTTTGGAAACCCAACGGCTGATTCGAAGTCGTTTGAAACTTCTTCCGCTGTTTGAGCAAAAATAGGTAAGGTGTCAAAGGTAAGTTACTCATTAACTTACTGTTTATTGAACTGGTATATAAAATATACAAGTAAAAGATATTTAATGGCAATGAATTCCACATTCAATAGCTATATACGTTTATAATCAAACATTTGCACATAGCTTTAAACAATACATTTTTCACCATTGTGAGACAAAAATCATTTACGCAACATACAGAAGATGATAAAGTGTGCTGAATTTAAAATGTACAAATAATATCATACTTCAATAGCACAGGAGCCTTCTTAAAAATAAATTTTATTTTATACTAGGGTCCACCGGTGCGTCATCTCTAACAGCTGAAAATGCCTCAATCTCTTTTATGATTCTCTCTCCAATTATGTTGTTATTTGCTGCAACAACTCTTCTAGACATCAGGTCCATCGGTCCACCTGTGGACATTTTACGGGGGGGGGAAACATGCTAATACACAACAATCATATTCAAATTTAATAAAATAAGTAATTCTAAAAACATCTTTTGGAAAAGCAAACTACTGACAAAAATAGAGTAATGAGATACAGTTGGCGTAAACATTCAAAATAGCGTTATTGTTATCTAACGCTATTTTTTTTTAAATTGTTGTAAAAATTACAATTAAAAATAAAACAAGCTTTGAAAAAAAAATTAAATGATAAATGTTGAGCAATGTTTAAGTATAAAAAAAAACTGAATGCTAGCAAGAGCTCTTTTTACCTTCAACATCCATGAGAACTCCTCCTGCCTCTGAGACTATGACTGCCGCAGCTGCTACATCCCAACAGTGGATCCCAATCTCATAATAGGCCTCTACACAACCAGATGCAACCAAGCACATGTTGATGGCAGCAGATCCAACACCACGTATCCTTAGGAAGGAAATTAAATGAATATCCAAGAGGTATTTGTTAATGCACATCACAGTATAATCGTGTACACATGAGCTGTGTGTGGAAGAAACGTGACACATACCCATGAACTGGCAGACACAAGATCTTCCTCATACTAGAGAAAATCTTATCAACAATTTCAGGATCTCTATTAGAGCCAAACTCTGTAGCGATGATTGACTGGTTAATCTCTGTTATATGATTTGGAAACAATTGGAGAGAATTCAGATGACTGCCAACAAACAAACATGGAATGCAAGTGGATCAACATGCTCAGGAAGAAAGGAAGGTCACCTTTTTGGTCCGACACTTGCAGCGGCTGTCCATTGCAAAAAGCACCCTTCCCTTTTCGAGCAGTGTACATCTTGTCTTCTATGCAGCTATAAACCACACCAAACTCTAACTGCAATAGAAGAATGATGAGTTTGACAGACACTCTTCACACTGGATAAACTTCCAAAGGCATGATAAATGATCAAGAAAAAGTAGGATATTTCATCTAACCACACAGTTGCAAAGATCTATTACAAGTGCTGTCAATTTGTTATTCTAAAAGTGCATTTGGAAGCAAATGATGCTTACCGTTTTGTTGACAGCAAAGCCAATGCATATAGCAACAAATGGATATCTGGACAAAGGAAGGCATATTTAGTGTAGCTCATGCTAGAAAAGTATGAAAAGTCGCAAAGTATAAGTCAAATATGTAATTGATCAGATATAGCATGTCTCACTAATGCCAGGGACACACTTAACGACTAGCTGAAATATTCTAAGACAACTGAATACACAGACTGTTTCCGACAACTGGAGCAGATTTTAAACACCGACTGTGAAATTACATTCATAATTGTCCTTACAGTCGTTGACTGTGTCCCCGACTTAAGGGTTTCTCATAGTGATAAAAGTCATTTAACTTTCCTGAACATATGCCAGTGGGGTCCAAAATTGAGACCACATTGAAAATCTGGGGTTTAAAATCCCATTTAAACCTGGAAATAAACTGACATTTTTAAGATTAAATAAAAGAAATAAAAGTTATGCCTGAAAATTCATATGAAATTTTGACTTTCACTCAAAATGTCATGCTGATTTGTAATTTGTTATTAAAAATATTGTTTTTTTACATTTTCATTTTTTTTTTAATGTATGTACATTTATAACACTATACTTTGTAATATATGATCTTTGCATCAAATTACAAAAAATATTTTACAAGTGAAAGTGTTTCTATTACAGGCTGTGGAAGTGACCAACGCTATCTCACGACCAATTCGCACGAGTGATTAAAAGGTGGCTAATGAATTCGTACGATTTGTCTAAACCCACGTGATGGGTAGGTTTAGGAGCGGGGTCAGGTGTAGGTCATTCGCACGAATTCATACGAATTGGGCAACTCGTAAAATATGTACGAGTGAGGTCGTATGAATTTGTACGTAAAATTTGTACGAATTGCCGTGAGATCGGGTTGGAGTGACTGTAAAATTGATGTCTTTCTCTCTTTCGACTGCCATTATCAATCTCGCTCTATTTTTTTCCTCTTTTTGAAAGTTGTGAAAACACTATTGTGGAGTTTTTCTTTTGCTATTTGAGCAAATGGGAACACAAAAAATATATTTAATGTAGTCTCTCATTCACCGCTACATATTCTAACCCAACAATGACGACTTCCGCTTCTGACAACCCCGGAAATGTGATAATGGTCTATTCAAATATGACATATTTAATTGTTTATTCTCTTTGTTTATTTATTTTTAATTTACATTTATTTAATTTCACTAGTGGTCTGAGACCTTTGAACCCCACTGTATCAGTGAATACAATTTTAATAAATTACCCATGCACAAAGTTAGTGGTCCCATCCACAGGGTCAATAATCCATGTTGGGTTTTCAGTCAAAACACAAGGTTCTCCTGCAGCCACTGACTCTTCACCAATGAAACTGAAACAAACAGGAGCAGAGTAGACTATGGTATATTCTCTTTACTTTAGATTCAATATGCTCTATCTTGGAAACTGTGTAAGCATGAAGGACTCAATACCTGTGTCCAGGAAACTTCTCCTTCACTGACGTAATAATAAGTTGCTCCACATTCTGGTCTGTTTTAGTGACCAGGTCAACAGAAGAGCTTTTACACATGATCTTTAGGTCATTCTGCAAAGCATTCCTCACAATCTGAGGACAACAGAGATAACAAGGTTTCAGTAGAAGAAAATTACAACAACAACAAAATTGCATCGTTTAAAAGAACGATGCTATCTCACCTCTCCTGATTTCCTGGCCACAGTCACGGCATGGTCCATAGCATCCTGCCAAAGGTCAGGCATTGTGAGAGCCCCTTTCTGATTGGACATAAAAACACATATTTATTCTCATCAATATCAGATGTATCTTATTATGTAATGTTGCTCTAAATCGATTCAGGAGTCACACTAGATAAAAGCTGCATTTTAAACCTCATTTGATTCGACGAGGCAGCTTGTTACTGATTAATTCCATATTTTTACCACTTTTCTGGCAGTCCCTTAACCCCAGCACACACTCCTTATATAGTGTTCTTTCTATAAATAGGCCTCCAACTGGGTCGAGGACTTTCTTTAAAACGCCCCTACCATAGCAAAAACGTACTACACTCTTAAGGCCAATTCACGTTTGTTGGGTCCCCTGTCGGCGTCTGCTGCCGTTGGTCGGGGTTTGTTTTCACGTTATTCAGGTTATTCACGTTATTCAGTGTCTATTAGGGCAGTGTGAACATGACAGTTATTTTTCATAACATTTTAAATACATCGGCCAACTTGTTGGTGTTTGTCTGTGCAGTGTGAATTGGCCTTTAGAACAAAAGATTCAATATAGAACCTTAAAGGGTTCTGTCAGGCGCTTCATAACATTTGAGTTCCCATTATGGGATCATTTTATGGATCTAGTTTTAATGAATTAATTTTATTTCAATATTTATTTGGAATAAATTGCATTAAACAGCGCATACACATACGTCATCACTAGAAGAAGAAAAAAACCTTTAAACATGAAAGTTTTATGTAATCATTTGAGAACCTTTTAAAAATATATATATAGAATCTTTTTGACATTAATGTTTTACCTGCTGTAAAACCTAAATCAATTATAATATGTCTTTCATTTAAGCTCCATTTTGACAGTGGTGGCTGGTAAAAAGTGCTTCAGTGTCATTTCCACCACATCTAATTTCCACCACATTTTGCACAATAAATACTGAAATTATGTGCACTTATTTCACTCTCTGTTTAAATTATCACAATTTTGAAATGAAATAGAATCATGTTTTTATTAGATATATTTCTTAGTTTAAAATTCAAAGTCTAAGTCGAGGACAAGTGTAAACATAAAAAGCTTAAATCAGCTGGCAACTAGAAACCCAGTAATGTCAGACGGTACTTTAGCATTTGAAGCATTTTATCATCCATAAAGTGTATGTCTGAGCAATCTATACGTGTTCATCTTAAAACTGCATGACAGATGAGTTCTTAGTGAAGATGTACAAATCTACTTCCTTTCATCGCCATTTATCATTTAGCCAAATCTAAACATCGGTGCAAACAATGCATTATGATCTACGCGTATAACGACATTCCAAAAACGAACTTGACACAATAACACAATAATAACACATAAATCTTACCAATCAATGACCGGCGAAATGAAGACTTTCTGCTGTTATGTTGTGTTTCCGGGTTCTTCTTGGAGGACCCGACGAGATTAACCCTAAACCATGGGGTTATTTTCAAATAACTGCCTAAGCATTTAGTACAATGAAATATCCCATTTCTTTTATATAGTATACTATACGTTTAAATGTTCTGTTTAGCACAGGCGCGTTCTTCAAAAATTTTTTATAAATTACTGATACGCATGCGCCGTATGTCTTTCTTTCTTTCAGCATCCTAGCAACTGCCTGAACCTTTGATCTGGGCATGTAGTATTTGCTATGAATCAGTATTTAAATGTGAAATGCTGTGAAGTGTATTCTCTGAATTTACGTTTTGTTCTTTGGACAACAGAAATCTCCCTATTTTTACTTTTCAATAGACATCATAAAAAACAAACATTTTAAGAGGTCTTCGTGCTTCTTTTTTTATTGTTGTATTTATTACATGGATCGGGATGGATTTTTGTAAACAAACAAAAAAAGAATACTATGCGACTTTGTTGTCCCAACCTTTATTGCAGCACTCAAACAAAACATTTACAGTTGTTTACAGATTTATGTCACCCAAAACTCCATATAATTTCAATGCCTCAATAACTTAAAATGAGTTAGCCTATACAGCAGGATTTCATGTAAACCTCTGAATAGAAAGCCTTGAGTAAACATCTGTTTGTATGTGGATTTCAATAAAAGAATTACCCCCTATACACATGGTATTATTGCTGGTTGTGAGGGGTCTGTCCCTTAGAGCACGACCCATACTAAAGCTGCTATACCCAACCTTTCACATATGGCTTTGAGAAGTTAACACTTTTGTAGAATTAATTCAATTTGACTATAAAGTGTCAAATTCTAAATAAAAGAATTCCTTAAAAATCCTAAACAAGAAATTAATACCACTTTAAAAATTCACATTGACTTCAAAAGTGTTAGGGGTCGAAAACACCCTCTAGTTTTGTAGAAAGAAGAAAACCCTAAAAACTACATTGCAGCCAGTATATGTTATGAAACCATTGAAGAGATTTGCAGAATTTCCTAAAGTCTAGCACAAAAACAACATCTATTCTGGCAGGCCCCATAAAACCACAGTGTAACACACAACATTACAATGAAAAAAAATGAAAAAAAAATAAAAGAATCCACAGTGAAACACTTCAGGAGCCAGAATTGGGTTTCCTTTAAAAGATCAAACCTGTTTTCAGTTTCTTAACAGTTTACTCTGCATCGAGGGTGAAAGCTACATTATTGTGATAAAAACCATGACAACATTAATAGCAAATACAAACAATTTTTGTCTTTCTGCGATATTAATGTGACAAAATACCATAGTCATCTTCCTTTCTGAATGTAGTACAACAAAACTGTATTGTTTCTATATTGTATTCTTACAGATGTGCCTGCAACAGTTGAAAGGGCCAGAATAAATGCACTGAGAATTCAATCCATAGGCAGTGCATTACATTTGACAAGTTAATTAGCACATACTGACTTGTGATGTCCCACAAAAAGCACTAGGAAAAATCTTTACCCTGCTACAAAAATAAAACATTTTGTAAAGTAGGGTGCTCCATATTTATGTGGGCATCCTTCACCAGTTATTACACAAGATGACAATCCCATTAAACAACACGGTTTCTCATACGCACACTGCACAGCAGCTGGAGTGTTTGCCTGAAATAGAGCTTGTCAAATCATGAGCCTATGAAACAAGACTTACTGAAAAAGGCATGACTATAAATAAAGTTTGATGGGGAGCAGAGATATGCTTCTGAATTAAAAAATGTGAAATCTAAATATGAAGAAATGCAAAAACAAGTTCTCCACTCTCTGAGCTCTTAGCAAAACAGTTACAGTATTGAGGAAAATACCAACAGAGGTACTTAAATGTTGACCATACACTGAAAAACACATAGGAAAACACCATGAATACATACTAGTGAGAAAAATGGCTCAAATGATTGCTTCGCATAAAGTTAAACAAGATTTTTTAAATTGACACAAACATGCACATGCACGCCCATTCATACAAAGTTCACATAGCAATTATCTTGGTTAACCTGCCAGCATAAACTTGTCCTTGATATGCAACATTGGAAATGTAGACTCAATACATATTGGTAGTACAAAACCTAAGGGTAAAAAGAGCAAAAGATCAGTGCAGCTTTGCATAGTACCTTCACATTAAAGCAATTAGATTTAACGAAGAGAGACACTGATGAATGTGAAGATCTCTGAGCTACAAAGCAACATGGTGGTGTTTGTACATACATAGGAAACCAAACTATCATCCTTGATCATTAAGAAATGGCTACTTCACATCTATGTTAGAGGATGGGGAAAAAGCTTTGTCAGTAATTACAAAATAGGGATTAGAAAAGGGAAGGGGGGGGGGGGGGGGTCAAACCACCAAACAAATGTTGACAAAACATTCAAATAAATGTGTACTTGTACACTGCATTATCAATTAACAGAAAGGCTTGTATTAAAAAAGAAAAAGTCCAGGAAAATGAAAGGGTAATATAGTAGCATTCTCTTTTTTTTACTCCATGGTGGGAATCGGCAGCTGCACACTTCCAGTGGAATGCCATGTGGTGCTGGTCCTCTCCGCATCTTACACACTTCCTAATGTTTTATGTTTCTGTAAAACATGAAATGATTGACATTTAAATACACTTAACCAGCTGATGTTTTTAGTTGAAGCAGACACTGTATTAGGCAGAGACAGTCCATTTTGTACATATGTGAACTAGAAAAAACACCTTTTTGATAAAACAGATTATGAACAAATTACATAGAATTGTTAAACACATACATGGCAAAGACTGTCTTTATGAGTGAGTCAGTCAGTAGAGAAGACTTTTACATTGAAAAGACTCAAACTTAGCAACTGACAGATGACTATCGGCACGGGAAAACCACTTAACTGTTAGAAGGACAAAATATCGCCGCGGACATTCAAAAGGATTTTTTTATTATGAATATAGGACTGACCTGAAGGAAAATGCTATGTCTACTGTAAATACAGGTACACTCGCTTACTCGATCTCTCACAATACTCTACTATACAATGAACAATATCAATGAGATCAAATGTGTTTGCCAAGTTGCCAAGAGTGGTTGCTAGGGGTGTTGTGTAACGATACATAGAACCGTTGGGTGAAGCGGTCATAGCCGTGTTTTATCGTGAATAAAACACAGCTACTGACCAATCAGAATCAAGGATCGGAACTAACCGTTTATATATATATATATATATATAAAGAGGGGAGAATTAAAATGCCAGAGTTAAAGAAATTGTCCTTAATCATATAACATTTTCACCCATTTTGAAAAGGAATATAAATGACAAAATGGTATTACCTGTGGGCTCTTCTTCAAGTTCTTCTGTTTGGTTAATATCTTCTGTTAATTAAGAAGCAAGGAAATATAATTGTGTGTTAGACATTAAGCATAGAATGTATGATTCTACAAATTTCTGTACAGATTTTCCACATTAGAAAGTCTTCCAATTCTTTATATGTTTTGCACAAACATAAAAGGAAATTATCAACCTGCAAAGTCTTCCTCAGCCTGCTCTTCCTCAGAAGCTGCATCCTCTGTAACAAGACAGGCACATTTCACAACAAAGTAAACAAAGAACTGCTCATCTGTTCAGTGTAAAATCTATAAATTTGTCTACTTCCTCTTGTCTCCGATTGTGCAGTATCTGATGTTAACAGATGTTTACATCCACATGAATGTACTATTTTAATATACAAGACATTTTGTGTATTATTCCTTGTTGCTGCATAATCACCACCTGAGTGAACACGCAAAAGCAAGAAAACGTACCCTCTTCTTCCATATTCTCTTCATCAAGCTTGGTTTCCTCCATTATGGAGTCTTCTACTTCCTCATCTTCCTGACCTGCCTCATCTGTTTCCTCTATAAGTTCCTCTTCTGTTACAGTCTCTTCTACAGACTCCTCAACTGTCTCTTCAGGTGTTTCTACTTCTTCCACTTGCTCTTCTATTTCAGGTTCCTCCACTTGTTCAGGTTCTTCCACAGCTTCTTCTACTGGTTCAAGCTCCTCCACAGCTTCTTCTACTGGTTCAAGGTCCTCCACAGCTTCTTCTACTGGTTCAAGGTCCTCCACAGCTTCTTCTACTGGCTCAAGCTCCTCCACAGCTTCTTCTACTGGCTCAAGCTCCTCCACAGCTTCTTCTACTGGCTCAAGCTCCTCAACAGCTTCTTCTACTGGCTCAAGCTCGTCCGCAGATTCTACCGGTACAAGCTCCTCAACAGGTTCTTCTACTGGTGCATTCTCTTCTACTACTTCTATTACCTCTTCCACTGGTGCATCACCTTCCTCCAACACTTCCTCAATTGCTTCTTCCACCGGTGCAACCTCTTCAACTACCTCCTCCTCTGGTGTATCTTCATCTACTATTTCTATTTTCTCTTCAACTGATGAATCTTCTTCCACTGGAGCAGCTTCCTCAACTGGTATGACCTCTTCCTCTGTTGCAAGCTCTTCCATTGCCTCCTCAAAAGCCTCTTCCTCAACTGGAACAGTGTCTGTATCCTCTGGCACTTCCTCCACAACTTCAGGTTCTTCCTCGGGAACTTCTTGCTCTTCTTCAACCTCTGGTTCCTCCTCAGCTACTTCCTCTTCTGCAGCAATAGGCTCTTCCTCAGCAACTGGCTCCTCCTCCACAGTTTCTGGTTCTGCAAGGGAAAAATAAGGTAACACTTTATTTTGCACTGTCCGTGTTACACATGTAGTTACTGTAGTAATAACTATAAATTATACATAATTACATGCAACTAACTCTAAACCAAACCCTAATCCTATCCCTATAGTAACCGTACATGTATTTCATTATTCTTACTCAGTACTAAATGTATAAATACACTGTAACAGACACACCTTAAAATAAAGTTCAACTAAAAATAATTATAATAAAATCTAATATTATACTATGCTCCTATTGTGCCAATATATTTCATACATGATCCAATTCAGAGGTTAGGTAAATTTACGCAAAGATATATTTTTTTGTATATACTACATGGCATGCAAACACATAAATCACAATACTTATGAGTAAAAAAATAGCAACAATTACAGACTTTAACTTCAAAGGACATCCTAAAAGTTGTACCTGGTGGCGGCTGAGCAGCTTCTTCAACTTTAATGGCTTGGATCTCTTCCTCCACAATAGAGTCTGGAGCTAATTCGAAGGGAATAAAAAATACAGTTTAGCTCGTTTTTTAAATTTATTGTTAAAACCCTTTGTTTATCCGTCATAAAGGTGCTTGTGCAATAATGCTTGAGTAAGATTTAAACTAGATCAATCATGCATGTCTGCTATTCATAACAGGTTAATGTGATTACTCTCATATCATGTTACACAAGAGCTTTTTGTGGTATGTGGCAAGGCTAGTTTATAACTGGTGGGCATTTCAGATACAAGTGTTCATAGGTGACCATCAAAATAATTTCTATATAGTACACAAGTGGTGCATATGCATAATAGTACACAGTCCTTGTGTAGTGTTAATGTTTAATCCATACGCAAGATAAAGTTAATTCCCCTGCAGTCAAACAAGTTTTTTCTTTCATATATTACATATATATATATATATATATATATATATATATATATTCTTTTTTTAAAAGACAGAATAATTTCATTGCCAGGCAATCATTACATTTCATTTTGTAATAATGGCAGTAACTTGCATATTTTCATTTACTTTCCAAATTTGCATATCACAATGTCTATTAGGGTTATAAAACCCTACATCTTATTTTAGATATTTCTAAGATATTTCTATGATCTATGCATCAATAAATTCTCACTGCACCCATATATTGCTTAAAACTCATGTGTGATTCTACTTTACCTTCTTCCACAGGTTCAGCAGAGGCTGCCTTAACCGGTTCACTGTTCTCAATGGTGGGCTTATCTTTCAGTCCTGAGGATTTTACATGTGGATGTGCATACATGAGGCAAGTTTAAAATATAAATCACATAAAACAAGCATATGACTATAACCTATGAAGTGCATTGAATCACCTTTACATGCCATTTGGTTTACTTTTGAGATTTTAGTTTTACAGGTATAGATTTAACTTTTACAGACACAAAGGTATGTGTTTGAGATTTTAAAAACAGACAAATAGGGAAAACAGAGGAGAGGAAAAAAGGAATATTTATAGAAAAGTTTATAGATATTATTGAGGGACAGACAGGCATTCTTGTGGAGAAAAAAGGCCCATTTCAATACTGTGCAACTGTTTGTTCTTATATCAATCAACACTGAAAAGAAAACACTCAAAGCACCGAAAAATCAAATCAGGATACTCATATTTTATTGATAACACAATCATTTTCACTCTTAGTTAAGTAATGCAACTTATTTTTATTTATTATAAATGAACAAAATCAGAAAAACACCAATGTTGAAATCTCACACTAGCTAGTATTTCGTAAGAGTAAACCAAAAATCCTACCCTCAAACAAAACAAACATTAAGGGAAATAAAAGAAATTCCACCTGACAATCAGCATAGCACCTTGTTCTGATTCTGCTTCTACTAATCTCAATGTTATGATTAACATCACTGAACATAGAGACAAAAGGTCTTGCCTTTGGCCTATAAGGGTGGTCTCTGAAAACTGCTCATAACGGACTGAGATCAAGTTCAGCACGATGTTAACACAATGTACACAAAAGACAAAATGTTCTGACATTTAATGCCTTAAAGTTTCTTTTTAGCTGCAGCCTTCTTGGATTCTTTGCCTTTTGCATCTTTCTCAACCTTTTTAACGTCATAATCAACGGGTTTCTCATGGGTTTTCTTTTCAACTTCTGGCTTTTCTTTCACCTCATCCTTTTCCACCTTAGTCTTCTTTGCTTCTTCACTTTCTGCCAGTTTCTCTCTTCCCTCCTTCTCCTTTCTAATTCTTTCCATGGCCTTTTCAACATCCTCTTTCTCTATTCTCTCCCCTTCCTCTGTCAGTCGAGCCTCAGCCCTCTCCCAAGCTTTGGCTTCGGATTCCTCTCTGATGCGGTTCAAGGTCCTCTCTTTCTCCTCTTTGACTAGGATGTTCCTCACTTCTGCCAGTGCCAATTTAGCTATTTTCCTGGCTTCCACTCTTTCATGGATGATAGTGAGTTGCTGTTTCAGAGCTTCCCTTAGCTTCAAACCAACATCTTTGGCATGGGAAAGCTCTGGGGAGAAACTTTGTTTGATGACGTAATCATGGTAACTGAATTTCTAACACTACGCACACCTCAACCCAAAACGCAATTAGTTGGAAAGATGTAAATCACTTCATATCAGAACTCCCTTATTAGTATGTTAGAATATCCTCTACACTCAACCGATTTAATTAAAAGGCCTCCCAATTGTTCAACACAATATTCAAAGGCCGGCCATTTAGGCCAAAGTATTTCTGCTGTAATTGATATTCTAAATGAATTATTTCGATTGCAATAGTTTCAAGAACTGCATGTTTTTCGATAAATGGTTGTTTATGGAAAACAAAAATCATTACATTTTAATGAAGTTATATAATTGTAAAGATATATAAAACAAACCTAATTTACATAATTTAAGTCATCCAGTGGCCCCCTTGGAAGTTTGCTTCCCAGTTGAGAACCACTGCTCTACACATTACGCTAGAAGACAATGTAGTTAGGATACGTTTATGACAAGTCCACAGTTCCCTAATATTATTTGCAAATAGCCTGGAAAAATGTCATTGTTCATGCAGGCTCATAAACGTCAACTACAAGAGGTCTTATTGTTAAACACGTCTTGGTTAAACAGAAAAAATGACATATAGCTTAAAAAATTTGATGTCAGCTCAGTCATGCAAACAGAAACAAGTCGATCAAGTAAACTTAGAAAATCCCAAACCACACAAGAGACATGTCTGCTGCATGCACTCAGATCAAGTGTGCAAAATACCTCCTTTTCTCCTGGAAACATCTTTAGACTTTTCATCTAGTGCAAATGAGACAGTGCAAATTTAAGTCAGTGATGGCTACTAATTCTTGTACATTTTTGTTATACAAAACACTCGATGACTTATGTAATGGTTGGTGATGCATACTTTTAAATATTGCTGAGAGAAAAGAAAATCTTAGTAAATAGTATGCTTATGCTATTGATACAAACACCTTACAATGTGCATCACCCAAATTAAATCTGCAAGTAGTGGCTATTTGTACATTTGAGAATACCCAATCTTATTAACACAAATAAAAAGCCAAACAACAAAGGAAAAATATGGCCACAATAGCAAAATAATTAAACCGAAGGATCTGAATTGCTCATTTCCAAAAATAAACACTAAAATTGTACTTGAAATGTTTGAGGGTAGAATTACTTAAGTGGGAACTGTATCCCTCAATCTAAACCTAATTCTACACGCTTAATTCTCTTAGAATACACTTCAGGACACACAAACAGCCATTTTGTAAATAAATCCTGATATGTATGCAGTAATTGTACTTTTTGCACAAGTACTATTTAAGTTATTGACACTCATAGCCCTCTCAATTCCCACCTAGTAATACAGAAGCCGTACATAAACATTATTACTTATCAGGCACACTATTTCAGGAGCTTTAGATTGGCAGGTAGGAACTGATTGTTGACGGTTACAGTACTCTGGGGTTCAGGTGACGTCTCCTATACAAGGACTCTGAACTAGTTCTTGTCTAGAGCAACTGATGAAATTAATGTGCAATCTCTTTGTTAGATGAGTAATAAGTCTGTATAGACCAGTGGTTCCCAAACTAGGGTGCCTCTGAGTTTTAAAAGGCGGGCGTGGCAAGGCTAAGGGATAGTGTATAGTCAGAAAATTGTTATGCGAAAGAAATCTCTTCAGGTTGAAGAAATCATTTGCTTATTATGAAACTACTTGCCATACAAGTAAATAATTGAACAAAACATTAATTTGACATTTTACTATCTCAAGATGACTCACAGTACCCGCTTGAGCCGTCTGTTATTAGTTGTAGCAGTTGTTATCATGGAATAACAGCTATATGGCATGATTAAAGAGTCAGAATTGAGTATTGCAGGGAGCCATGTAAAAATATAAATGAATGATGCATGGTTCTGCACCAAGCATGGACAAGTTTGTGAATTGACTGCTAGTTCAAGGTAAACAAAGCAGACAATGAATATATTTCAAACAAAGACTGTAAAAAAAGATGGCCGACGCCCCTTCGCTCTCTTCCATTGGTGAGAAGTGAAACCGCCAGTGTCCCAATATGTCGCTGACATCTTGGGACTTGAGTCTGCACAGTAGTGATCTCGGGACCAGACCTGCGCAGTAGTGAGCAGGAAGTAAAGCCGCGAAATCAACGCCCCGCCCTAACTCGCAGAACGCACTCTCCCTGCACTTTTTTTTAAGTGGCCTATGTCTGCTCCGTTCTGCTCCAAATTTGATGTCTGTTGATTGCAGTACGACAAGAGGCTTGTTAAAAAAAAGTAAATACAATCTCCTCAGTCCTCTGAAGATCCAGAAAAAAAAAAAGTATGTTGGTGCTTCAGTGACTTCTTCGCTCAGAGAACATGTCAATCACAGCTGTCAATCATGATGTAACACCACCGTTTTTATAGCATCACGTAACTAACTAAAAACAAACTTATTTTAAAAACAGACACTTACATCACACTTACATCAGCTTGATAAAAACGACAGAAACCACATTTGGAAAAAAGATATTTGAAGTGCAATTTAATTGTTTAGTTGGTCTCACGTTCCGTTGAACAACACAGGGATGCGGGGTTTATGACCTATACCACAGGGACCAGTCACCAGGGGGTGATCTAGATGCTTTGGCTTTACTTTCAGGGTTTGTGCGGCACGCTTGATTTCAAACATCAACTACCAAAACAACGCATCTACTCCAGACGCGATCGTCACAACGTGACAAAATCAATTAGAAGTTAGAACCCATTATAATCAGTGATGCCATCTACACTGGTTGCGGCACGATGTGACAAATTCCCGACTATAAACTGATGCTCCGCTCCATTTCTGATGTACTCCAAGCACTTGTGCAACTTCAGACACAAAGGACAACTGGATTTGTAACGTTCGATTTGTGGTGTAGACCAGTGTAGACACCCTCAAGACAAGAAAGTATGACAAGGCATATCTCGTCCTGGATACACCAATACAAGGACGGGTAATGAAGAGAGACCAAGTGTGTTGCGTGCCTCAATGTTCGCTTCTGACAGTATGAAGCCGAACAAGTTAAGACGCCACTTGTAGACTTCACATCATGAACAAAGAGAAGCCCGTTGAAGTTGAGAAGTCTGAGAGTGTCTTTATGTAGGTGCATCTAGGTGTACAGCATGTAGGTGGGGCTTGAAAATATTTTCTACAAAAGGGGGGCCCGGCAGAAAAAGTTTGGGAAACACTGGTATAGGCAATAGTACAAGTTTCTTGTCTGAATTTAATTGAGGTAATACTGCAAGAGGGGTGGTATATATATATATATATATACATATACATACTTTATATCCAAGCCTATCAATATTCTCTACAGCTTTGATAAAGGAGTGAGAAGGCAACTCGCATAAGAATAAAGAAAAAACAACGTAACAACTTGACAATGTTATGTAAAATTGCCTATTTTGTAGTACCAAAAAGGTTAAAGGAAATACAAAACAAAATGATGAGTTGCTGGGGATGCAAATCATCCCAAAATGCAATTGTGTAATTTAAAACGGCTCAAAATAAAACATTCACTGCCAAAAAAGAAAAATGATAATCAGATTATAAAACAAGAATGTCAAATGTACAGTATTAAATTGCAAGACTCAAATAGAAATACATACTATTGTTCATGATATAAGGGAACTGAGGCATGCAGCAAAGGTGATATGTTCATCTTTCAGCAATAAGGTCATATGCAAAAGGTAAGTAGTATATTAGTAGTTAAAAATAGAAGTTGCAAAAGAGCTGCAACAAAGCATAAACTACACAAGTTCAATATTTACAAAGGTGTAAATGTTCATAATGACATCATCTTCTCAAGAGATCACAGGTTCCAAAGTGACTGTTGGCAATCTTCCCAACAAAATGCTTCTTCAAGTGTTAGGAACAGAATCAAGTCGTCAAGGAAGTAAGTCCTCATCTAATAAAGTGCTTCTGTCACAATTGCGGTAGAAAACACAACTATTGGTTTTGAAGGCCTAAAATAACGCATGTCTTTTGGCCCTGAACCCCTTCAGTCTGTGACGCGCCAGCAACATCTTCCGCTGCTGCCTCAGTTTCTTCATCCTCTAGCGTTTCAAAAGGACTCATAACGTCATAAAGGAAGGTGAAGAAACCTTGAAACCAATCAGTGCCCTCTTCTGCTAAAATATCGAGGACTTCCTCAAGTGAGTCTGAGTTTTCTTTGCTGCCATCTTTGGTCAGCCCTACACAAATGGGAAAATAAGGAAAAAAGAGAAAGAGAGGGAAAGAAAGAACAGTGGGAGAGCAAGAAAACAGAGAGAGGGTGGAGGTGGTTTGGTTTGCAAGGTTTAGTAGATAAGGATTCAGTGCTATAAAAAAGTGGGTAAAGATGCTATTAAAAGCATATGAGGTAAAGGAGAAAAGGAACATGCATGCATGGGAAGTACCAATGAGGCGGTTTTTAATGAATTTAGGGCTCAGTTACTTGTGAAATCAGTTAAACTACCTACAAAATGAGAAAATAATTCTTCATTTTCTCTCCTTATGATATTATGTAGCCGTTAAAACATAATATTGGCAAGCTGGTCTAATTCTCAAACTCATGCAATAAGGCAATAACCTCATCATCATGTGGTTTGGAAAAAAAAAACATCATTACAAAAGCATGGAAAAGTAACATGCACGTGAATTAGCCCCATTTAATTTGTCATTGCACAAAAGTGAACCAAAGTCAGTCATGCAAAACAATCTGGTAATAATGTCATTGAAATCAGTGCACTTGCCTAGTAGTACTTTAGCGTCTTCCACATCAAAGTCCCCATCACCATCAGCATCATAGGACACAAGTTTACCTAGTAAAGTAAAGTGAACCTGATTTAATAATTTGACATGCATTGCGAGTAATCCACTGTGCCATATATATATAGAACATATCTCTTTTGGATACTTTAAACTAAGAAATGTCCTTAATGTTAAAATCTCTCTCTCTCTATCTCTCTCTCTCTCTCTCTCTCTCAAAGAGATATGTTCTCTCTCTCTCTCAAAGAGATATGTTCTACACAAATGATTGTGTAGAAATGGAAACTGCTTTATTACAACTTTCCTTGGGAAGTCATCCCATTTACATTAGCATTTATTATATCATACATTCAAATAGTTAAAACATACATATTGTTCAAAAGTTAACAATATTGCATGTTTATAGACATACATGTATTGTATATATTATATGTATTAAAGTATGAAAAATGACACTAAAAATTAAATCACCCTTTCACTCCCCTACGTTGAAATTGAAAATGATAGGTTATGTCAAAGAAATTAGGTTTATGGTGGTGATTATCACTGGTTCAGATGTCATACCTTGTAATACCTCTGAAAGATTATAGCGAAAGTCCTTTGCTTTGGCTGCATGCAAATTAAGGCCAGATACAAAAAACATTAATGTAATAAGAGTATTTTTAATACTACAATCAAGATATACACAAAGTCTGAAAAAAAGAGAAACCAAAGACTCACCAATTACACCTTGATAGTCAACAAGGTCAAAATACACCACAGCTACAGAGGTCCAGACACCTAGAAGGGCTAAAACCATGAACCAGGTGAAGAACGAGGTTCCTCCGCCAACCTCTGCCTTCTTCCCATTCTTATGCGCCAGCTGCGGCTTGGCCTCTGAATGACAAAAAAAAAGGTAGATTATACACAATGGCAAGATGAAATAAATAAAAAGAAAAGTACCAACTGATACATTAAACAAATTCAATGCAGCACAGCAAAACACTCTACACGTATGAATGAAGACTACATGCTCAGAATTGAACCATGCCTTTAAATGCAAGATTAGTCCTTTAGTGTTACTGCACGGATAAGTATTTTCACTCAAGGCCACTAGTTGATACAATATGCATGTAACATTTGTTTTGAAGCTGAAAATCTATTGTAGACCAATCAATTATTTCTATATTTAAATGCATGTATAAGATTCAAGGGATATTCGATTCAGGTAAAAGATTCCCTAAAAGATGTTTAAATATTCCATTTGAAATCTATAGTAATCTCAAGGTGACAAAAGTCTAAAAGAGTGCAGTTATTCTGAGGTCTGTTGACACTCCTCATGGAACCGTGGTATAAATACATCTGCATTCAGAGCTCTAGTGGGAAGAATGAACAGGTGTTTTGTCCGCTATGTTCTGCTAGGTCAAACCACACGTGTGTTCATGCACACTACAAACATTAGTAACAGACATACACAACACTAAAGTGTTACAACAAAGAAATTCTCTTTTTACATGTTGTACAGGTATCATATGTATACGAACTTCACAAGAAAATTTGATAACAAAAGACATTTGAAAGCACTCCTGCAATCTCTAATAAAAAAATAAAAAATAAAAATTGTACTGCTGCTCATATACACAAAATACAAATTTAACTAAAAATTTTATATTATGATTAAATTATTTTTCAAATATTAAGGCTTCCTCTCACACCCCTGCGATTCATTAAATGTCATCTCTTGTCATAAAAGCTTATTCCAAAACCATACAAATACTAATACCGGTTTCTTCGTTCACCACCTTGACCTCTGCATTCGGCTCCCCCATCCCTCCAGGCAAAGTGGAGAAGAGAGCGTCCTCACCCAAATCCTACCCCGAACCCCTGTACAACAGCAGGTCTTCTGCCTTTTTGTTCCTGGTGAATTGAGCCGGAACTTAATATGGAACTCGACCAGCAAATGGATTATTTTTAGAACAGTCCGCTTGAAAGCCAGAAAATCTCAAGCACTCATCGGAAAGGGTAGAGGCAAATCCCACTCCATCCTGCTGTTCTTCTTAGTCACATATGAAAGCTGAAACGGCTGATTGGTCACCCAAATTACTATACTTAACAAAAGAGCAGTGCAGAATGGAGGATACAATGCTTGGTCGTCACATACATGCGTTTTAACGACATGCAAATCAAACTTTGGCTTTAGCCTCCAGGCAGAGGAGCATGTAAATCTGAGACCTGACTATTTATTTTCCATACAAGGACCGGTCTCTCGAGTTTCTTGATGAAGAAATAAACATGTTAGTGGTGGCTTCTGCTGGGATTTGTCAAAAACAAACCAGCCAATTTGCTTAAATAATCCTGTATCTGTTAGCACAATTTCTCTAAAAAAATTGTCTCAAAAGAGCAATAAGCTTTCAGATACACTACTGTTAAAAAGGTAGCAGCAAGGTTGTATTTATTTGAAGGTGCTCTAAGGCTAAGCGATGTCACGTAGCCTAGAAATCTAGACGCACCCTAGCGGCGGCAAAAAATATTTGCAGCCAGTGTGGTCTAGCGAGCTGGAAAAAACAAACTCTGGTCAGGCCAATCACATCGTGTATAGAGTTGGTGGGCGGGCTTAACATAATGACAGCAGAGTTGTGACGGTTCCGCGTGATTTCCCTGCTACTTGAAAACAAAGAAGATGCTGCTGGCGAACAGCGGTCTTTCGAATCGGCTTTGGCCGCGACTCTGGAGGACTTGGAGTTAAGAGAACGTCACTTAAGTCATTCTTAAAAAAGGAAGATGTGTTCGGAGTTTTGACGACCGTTTTGAGTTTAATATATCAACTAGCTCCGCTGGTGGGGAAACGCATGGGACTCCCTCATCCACAGCCGTTCGTTGCTCTGGTTGGTTGAAGCGCTATCCTATTCCTAATCCCTTCAGAGGGATTTTGAAAGACAACTGTTTATCCCACCCCTGGGATTGAGGCATGCCAATTGTGAGTTCCCAGACCTAATATATTGATGTAGGTCTGGCCAGAGCCGTTAAATATGAGAGTTGCGACACTCTTTGATCTCGCCGCCACGTGGTTTGTGTAGCTCTCAATAGTTCCAAACAGAGCCGCGCTCACAACCAGTTTGAATTATTTTAAGCGGGACAGACAGCAGCAGCTATATTTGCAGCAATTATCGGTAAATATTGACGCATAATGTACATTGATTATTAGGTTGACGCTTGCTTTAAATACATATAATAGCATTTTTTTTCTGGGGAGGGACAGAAACACAGCATTAATAAGTTTTTGTGTTTAATTTTGGAGGGAAATGGACTGATCCCATAACGTAGAATGCATTAACAGCAACGACTATATTTGCAGCAACGTTCGGTAAAATTTTAACTTCATAAAATGAAACTGGAGAGATAGTTAATGAGTGAATTAACTATGTTCCTAAATAGGCTACGATCCATAACATGTATGTTTTTAACATACGATCCATAACTGTTAACGGGATTCATTTCAGTATGGCTAATGTACCCCTTCATCCTTCCCTAATCATAGACTAAGTTAAACCATTCATCAGAAAACACACATAAATACATACGATGTACTGTGTACAGTATACATGTATATATATTTAAATCACACATAACTAACCCTAACACATAATATATTAATTGTGTATGTATATATATATATATATATATATATATATATATATATATATATATATATGAATGCATGTGTATTTATGTATATGTATTACACAAACACATTTTTGACATATGCATATATACACACATAACCCTAACCCATTTAAATAAATGAATTGTGTGTGTAATGTATATATAATATTATATATTACATACATCAGGTTACCGTAAGTTAGCTAACGTTAGTGAAGTGCTGGTCACGTAAGCTATAGCTGCAATTAACCTATTATCTTCCAATAAACATTAGTTATATTTTATGTAGCCAGTTTTAGTTACTTTTGCCCAGTGGCCTCTGTCCTTCATGGCCTCCTAATCATCCCCATATATATATACCAATTGGCTTCATCACTCTGTCTCCTCTCCACCAGTAAGCTGGTGTGTGGTGGGCGTTCTGGCGCAATATGGCTGCCGTCGCATCCTCCAGGTGGATGCTGCACATTGGTGGTGGTTGAGGAGATTCCCCCCTTCTATGTGAAGCGCTTTGAGTGTCCAGAAAAGCGCTATATTAATGTGATGAATTATTATTAATTACTGACTAGATTCACGAGAGGTCGGCTAATGTGTGTAAAAGTTTAAAAAATACAGTAATTTCATTAATTTACCAGCGAGTGTACTTCGGAAACACTGAAAATGAATGGGGTTCAATGCTGGAACTATCAGTGTTTGGAACTATTGGCCGCTCCACGACACGCGTTACTTCCGCATTCCAAAGTTCCTATGGCGGTCTATGGGAGTGTCGCAACTCTTGTTTTTCAACGGCTCTGGGTCTTGGCTTGCCAGGCTAGATGTCACGTGTTTTTTAGGCCAAAACATTTGTTGTCACATACAGCAAACATCTCATCACTATCCGCTAGCTGCCTGTCCCCTGAACACACTGTAAAAAAAATGCGGTCTCTGTAGACAGCCCAGGCTCCACAAACGGCAACAAAAACAAACGGGGGCAACCCGCTCCACGAAACAAAACAAACTGTTCCAGCCAATAACCGACTAGAAGGATTTGGGGGTGGGGTTTGGGGGGTTAGTGCGCGTACACATGAAGGGGGGTGTGGAGGAGAGAGAAGCATGAAGAGGGAAGTTAGAATTATAACTCTTTAAGTTTGATATGGCCGACACACTACCAAAGAGACGACGTTCCGATGAACAGATTGCAAAAATGCAAAGAAGAGGGAAAAGTAGAAGGAACGCGCGAAGTTCCGAATTTACATTGGAAAGCCTTTGCTTTGAAAGGTGGCAAGAACTCCGCCGGCAGAAGGGCTGCCTTCCAATCCGACATTCAGGTAGCTCTGTTTTTGCTGGACATGTGGGTAAATCCAGTTTGGTTTTTCTAAATGGACTTTCATGTTCGCCTAACAAACACAAGGATATAATTAGCTAGAACAATGCAGTCAGCGCTAACTTTGGTGAATACAACATATTGGTTTCTAGCAGCTAGCTATCGATCTATTGTAAATGATCAAGCAAACTCACAATAGGGTGACAGTTTGTGTGAATGATTGTTTTCACCCACTGTTTGTCATGAATTTGAATGTTCATTCATAGCCTATTATGACAACTTTGACTAAATTTGTTTACTACGGAGGCGGAGCCGTTGTTCATGCTGACTGGGAAACGCGAATCTAACGTTATCTTGCTATTATTGCGTCCTTGTGGTAGCTAAAGTTATAACCTCAGGTGGCGAAACGTTTTATCGTGTTTTTCTGGTAATGTTTCTCTTTTTGTGCATTATATGAAAGCATTTATCTAACTTGGCAACATTACACGTCACCCAACATCGCTTAGAGCACCTTTAAACAAAAATAGTTAAAATATTTTTTTCCATGTTAATAAACATAAATAGGATGATCCAATTAAAAATTAATTTATTCCTTTTACTTCAGTCTTCAGTGTCACGTGATCCTTCAGAAATCCTTCTAATATGCTGATTTGCTGCTCAAGAAACATTTATTATTATTATATTTTTGTGTAAACAGATCATTTTCTTAGGATTCTTTGCGGAAGAGAAAGTGCCAAAAGAAAATCTTAAATTACCCCAAACATTTTGAACAGCAGTGTACTTTTCATGTGCAAAGCAAATCAAAACCCCAAAGCTTGGACTTTTAAGTAAAAACTGCATTAAGAGCATTTGAATCTTTCAGATATAGATCAAAGTTGCATGCAATGTTTGGAAATAACAGGACACGCCCCTAAAGACACACATGCTCGGTTCAACTCGTCACTAAATCTACAGGTAGTCAAACGGCTGCCATTGTGACCTAATTAACATCTTCCCCTTCCACATTTAAACCTGCTATGTATAACAGTGCTTCAACTTTTTTTTTTTTTACTCATGCACTGTTTTTGCCATATCGGTACAAAATGTTCATTGTCCAGCTTACATAAGACTGTAGTGGAATGTGTGCCTTGAAATACCCTCTTCTTCATTCGTACCTACACACCCTACAGCTTAAAGCAAGCAGTATGTGTCTGGTCACAGGAACAAACCCTGGACATTAACCCCTTATGTGATCTTATCAGCACCATACACCCCCGATTGGAATCTAGAATGACCAGCAAACCTCCCCTTTAGAATAATAGATCATACACTGGTTTGAAAGTCCAGTGGGTTGTCCTGATGTCACAACAGTTAGATATGTCAGATTATTCAAGACATTAAATTATAGGAATATTTGGTATGGCATTATAAAATGTTAAATATTATTGTCATTCATAAGAATATCAGGACTGAAGGGTGTTACTTGTTAACTTACACACAAGTGTATTATCAAACTTCGCATGAACCAGAAAATTGAACATTGTGAGATAAACACTGCATTTAACAAAAGCAAATAAAACATTTACTGCACAAACCATGTATGACGGAAATGTATTAGATGCAATGCCCTTGAAAAACAACATGCAAGGTTATTTGAACAGAAAAAAATTAAGTGCAAGCACATCGTGGCGGACTGTCATTTCTTTACCATTTAATTGGAAGTCTGCAAGTTATTCTGTGCTGCTGAAAAGATCCCTGAAAGGAATGATTTTGACATTTGATAAAAGAGGGCATTGCACCACTTTATGAACAGCTAAGGTCACTTTGATGCATTTGCTTTGCAATCTAACTTTGTTATAAATGCAGCATATAAAATGGGTGCAGGCCAGCTCTAGACTAGATAAATATCATTACAGGAAAAGCTTTCCATAATGGATAAAAACCCCAATATATTTGACAGATTTCATATAAGAATAGGCATTCTTATGGCACATAGGCAATTGAGGTTCTAGTGGCACCTCAATGACACCAACATTTTAAATTAAAATACTGTAAAAAAAAAAATTTAAAAAGTGAAAAGTTTCAGGGTGGCATTTTGTATCTTTTTACATATCAAATTAATATCTACTTTATGCACTTAAGATATAGATACCATCATTATAAAACAAGTTGTAACAAGAGATGACCACGGGTATGAATTAAGCTTTTACATGAACAAAACTGCCTTTACCAAGAACAGTAGCTAATAAACAAATAGAGTGTACACATTGGCCCCAACAAACAGGACAATGCACACAACACCAAATAGCCTAATGCAAAAATATTAGCTCATAAAAATGTAATATAACTGAAAATGTGCATGACTGAGAACAATTCAGTATAACTGCATGCATTGGAGTTATATCTATTATCAAGCTTTTTTACAGTGTAAAGTCAATCTATATGGCGAAATCTATACACGGTGTCGAAATTTTTACTGTATGGGCTCATGTACCTTCAAAAGGCCAATAGTTAACAAATCTACCAATCTTACATAATAACCACGCAGTTACTAAAGTCAATAATAGTAGCTAGATAGCTAACCCAACACCCGGAGAGTGGGTCCTGCAATGTGGCAGACTTTCTTTTTAATTACAGTCTGTGGTGACATGGGACCCTAGAGGCCACGTGTAACCCCTCCCATGCTCTCCCAATATTGACACGTGAGCATTTAAGAGTTCGCACTGGGGCAACTCTCACTCCAACGATGAGCAAACATGAAAATATAGGTCATTTGCTGCTGTTGGAATTAACAAAACAGTGCAAGAAACTAGGCCTTTTGGGTCTCGTGCAAACAAGACCAAAAAGCATGCAGAAGTTCAGCAACCATTTCCTCCCATTTTCCAAGTGCACAGACACGATCGGAGTGGGATATTTAATACACGCCACTCCGACTGAAAAGTTCTTACTCGCTCCGACGATTAATTAACTATTTGCGATTACAGTGTAATACAACTAATGTTATAGCATACAGTAGTCGACACAATGCACTGTGTATTCTTTTTTTTTACCCGTTGTATCTTTTTGTTGTGTCTCTTTGTGGCTGATAAATAACTACCCTACCCAGTGCATTTAAATATTAACGTTACATAAACAAAATCAATGTTGCCGCCTGATTAACTATCAGGCCTTCGCAGAAATGCACTTATTTTCGACGGAAGAAAATGTAAACATAGATACCTTTTTTAACTGTTCCTTTTGTATTTCTCTTAGCCATTGCAAGTGGTAGTTCTTCGACGTTTCTTACTACGAATTGACCGTAATTCCAGTCTCAGTTCTGGTACTTGATGCCCTGTAAAATCAAATCCCTATGCCTTCATAGTACACTGAGGCCCAGAGCAACCCGTCCCCCTTTTGAGCGACCGAGCGTTTGACCAATGCTGTTCAGACAAAGTCGCTGTGGGCGGGGAAAATAAAAATGTCATCCAATCGCCGTACAGCGGTCGATGACTTATTCAATCGTGTGGATACCTGCGGAATAAGACCGCCCAGTTCTTTCCTGTTTTTTTTGTACCAGCACTGGAACGTGGCAAGATGGAAGGTTGCACTTATCGCGAGATCCAATCCATGTTTACATGCTGCTGTGAATGCAAAACAATTCACAACATTATTACAATTCTTATCGATGCATGTAACGGTCGAATGAATTCGTCGTGTGATGTATGACTTAGCACTTGAATAGGTTGTTATTAGCAAAATTACTTCAGTCTGGACTCTAGAAAGTGAGTTCTGTTCACCCTTTACTTGTAAACGTAGCCTGTAGAAAGAAGCACACACGCTGAGGAAACAATTCAGTTTCTCAATTATATGGGCATTTTGTATTAAATTAACTGAATAATTAAACCTGATTTGTCAGTAAAGTACTATATAGTGAGGGGGTGAAATTAACAACGTAAACTTTGTTCTTTTTTGCTTGGTACAAATTGTCCCATTGTTGCGCCCCACCCCCTTTCTGCTTATCTCCACCTCATCCTAAAATGTAGTAGCACTAGTGTGTAACTTTACTCACATGAAGTTAAAACTTGTTGAAACTCTGTTATACACTCTGTTAATGCATTCACATAGGAGAAACCTAAATAATATTGTTTATTTTCCGATTACTTGTGGTTTGGACATTTTTTGATAGAAACAGGAATCTATGTTTAATGGTAAGTGTAATACAAAGAATGAATACCATTTGCTTTTCAGATGTAATGATTGTAAAGATAAAATTCAGCTGAAACCCACAACCAGATATTATTGTACAATTGGGAGTTACCCTAGGAAAGCGGATTTATCTTTAAAGAATCACATACAATTAAAGAATATATATATATATATATTTGTCATGTGTCAATAATATAATAATCATTTGTCAAAAGCTTTTGTCAAGACGTGCTTGTTTGGCAGATCTGAGTTATTCTAACCTCTCAGACAATGCTGCCATACTACTACATGCATGTCAAACACTAACTGAAAGATAAGAAAGGATTAACTTTGACTTAATTAAATTAATGTAAATGCAAAATCTATTTTTATCCTTTCAAACAATCATTACCACTTAAGTGATGAAACACTTGAAGATTAATCTGTCCCACATGCATGATTTCTAAACCAAAAAAGACAAGACAATTCTAATATGGAAATTAGAGGCAGGATTAAATATGGCAAGTGTGCAAGACTAATTGTAACTTTAGTAATAGATGTAGTCAATGCTCCAACATAAAATATAAATATACTACAATACTCATGAGATGTTCTTAAATACATGATAGGATAAAAGAGGTATGGGAACCATTTGGGCCTTTCCCACCATTTGGCATGTGTGAGAAAGTGTGATTTTCTTCTTTCACAGTGCAAATCTCCAGGATACTTTTGCCTATTCATTCCGAAGTGGTAGTTGTCCCCACATAATGTTTCACAGTAGGGCTTTGGATATTAATAGTTGGTAGTATGACATGTACAAAATTCACAAAACAATTGAAGGTATGACATGTTGTACAACATTATGTATTGTGTATTTTTACCACCAGAGGGCATGCAATAATTATCTAAAAATATAGTTTCGATAGATTCAACAGTATTCTTGAAAATTATTGTTTATTATGTACACAGTTGAAGGTACCTCACATATGTTGTGCAAGGAACAACATTATAAGTTTGTTGTAGCTTGTTGTTTTCCCCTTTGAAAACGTTTGGTACACCAATTGGAATAACATTGCATTACAGCCCTTACACAAAGACACCATGGTAATAGGGAAGGATTGTTATCTTAGTATCTCCTTCGTTCCCCCTGGAGACATTCCAATTTAATGTCCCTAACCATTACTAGACTACAGAACTATGGTTTTAAAATATTTCTTAGTGATATTCTTATTGTTACTGTTAATTATATATATATATATATTCTTATTGTTTAAATCTTACAATCTAAATTGACAGGCAAGATAATGGGAGATAATAATAATTTGGCAGGAATGTAGTTACACAGCCTGGAGCCTCTTCATTCACCCAATTGGATTTGGCAGCTTAACAGTTGAAAACATCTTCACACAATGACATTTGCGATTGTCCAGTTCCCACGTTTATTTGAGCAGCACATTGTGTATTAATGTGTCTGTGTATATCTTTTTATCATTATGGTAATGTACATTAAAGTGGGAAAAAATAATTAACAGTTGTAGTTGAATAACAATTGATGACAACACAATTAAATAATGAGCCACTAATGTAAAACAGTGATTTTCTTCTGTCATTAGACTGTCTGACAGGAAAGGTGCAATAAACAGAACAAGAGGTATATTATATACGTGGTTTCAGAAATTCACATTTAAGGAAATCTGTAAACATGAAGAGCTCCAGACCCAGTAAGGTCATTCGTCTCTGGTTATATTTGTTTAAGAGTCAGAGCAAAAGGCAATAGACCAAAGTGCCACTTTACAATCCCACTTAGAGTATACTAAATAAGTACATGCCCTCAGCTTTTTATTTATTTAAAATACAGCAAAGGTTACTGAATGCTGCAGTTTACCATTACATTACAGATCATTTGACTCCATAAACACAGAGGCTTACGTTTTGTAACATCCTGAGTTTTGTCTATTGTTATGAAAATAATACAATAAAAACAATGACAATTCACAAGTAAAAGAAACAAAGGCACTTTGATATTTCAGTCACATACAACATTGTACACTAGTTGTGTTATTTTAAAGAAACTACAAAATCCTTCTTCTAAAAGCAACAAACATCTGAAATCTAATGCTATATTGTATCTTCAGAGGTATATCAAGTACTTGCAATGAATATCTGTGTGATATAGAATTCAATAAAATCACATTATCCAAATGTGATAACTGGGAATGTCACTTTTCCCAGTATGGAATGAAAATAAAAGTAAAGAAAAACAAAATCCTATTTAGTAAATGATTATAATTGAAGTCAGCAATATTATCCTTAATTTCATAGACAGTATGTAACTTGCCACAGCAGAACACAAAGAGCACATGGTGAGAAGTACCTTCATTTTAATTAGTCAAAGGCGGATGACTGAGAAGCATCTCCTCCACCGCCTGATTCTTGCGGGTTGCGCAAGTCTATAGAGAGCCTATAGAGATAATCTTCAGACTGCATGATGAACTCAGTCCACTCTTGGCACACTTCATCTATGCCTGGTCCCGTTCCTCCATACACAGGAGGGAGAATAGCCTTCGGAAAGTAACTGCAGAGACTTCGGACATATGAACAGCCATGCATATGAATCTATAAGGAAAAGCATCACCATAGATATTAAGCTGATTAAAACGAATCCTCTTAAAATCCCATATACATGTAGTCTACTTAAACGTTACTAACCCGTTGTTTGATTTTGTCTGGAAGAAATGGACGGATCATGGCAAAGACGGGACGGAAAAAAATGGGCTCGTTTATCAAATGGATGCCGCGTACTTTCAAAGGAAAGGAATCCTGCAAGACAGATTTGAATTTTTTATTTCGTGGATTCATTTTAACTCACTCAATAATGTATTTATAATTTTTTTTATTATTATTAATATTAAAAAGCTAGCTATAAGAGGAGGAGTAACTTTAAAAAAAAAACTATATACTGATAACCAAGTTTTTCTAGATGTTTGGTTAAACCTAGATATTTCTCCAGATATCCCATTGATAATTTCTTCACTAAAATATATAATCTTTAGTGAAAATGTTTAAATTGATACATACCGTGAGTACAGAAGATATCTTTTTTGCCAAGGAAGGATTTATCTGTAGAGCATGAGCAAAGCACCAATCTTGGAGATCAAAAATCACTTTGAGTCCATTTTTTTGAGTCTCCCACTCTCGAACAATCAACTCTGACGTAATGAGGCTCACACGAAAAACCTCGTAAGCTGTAAATTCTTTGGGGTTCCACTGACCTGAAAACAGTGTTTGAAAATGTGTGATATTCCCCATTATATTCCCCATTATAATGGCAGAAGGTTTTTATATATATATATATATTGTTTGTGTATGTACTTGCCAATCCGATAGATTAAAACTCGACCTCCAGCATCGTCTCGTGATCTTAATACTCCATGGTAATTGTTTTGGAGAAGTCCTATGATGGATAATGGCCGTAGATCGGCAGTTATTTCTGGACATTCTTGTCTCCATTTATGATAGTTGATTAAAAGCTGTTGAAAAACACAAGATCAATTATATATTAGTCTCAAGTTTTTTATTTTCAAGAAAATTATCAGGACAAAAGAAGCATTGCTCATTACTTTGATTATGGTTGGTTTGACATCTGAATGCAATGTCAGTCAGGAAAAAAAAAATGTGTACATCAATTATTGAACATCCAGTCCCTACCTAGTCAGTATAGCTGAAATAACCTCAAAGTTACTTTGACTTAAACTAGAGTGTTTGTGGGCCAGATATTTACAGATGTTTACATTAAACGAATAATAAGTAGACAATAAAACATTGGCACAAATTGGTACAATAAGCTATAATGTACATTTGTATATAAATGAACTGGTGTATATGAACACAATATAAATGGTTAAAGAAGAAGTTAAGATAATTAATAATAAATAATAATACACTTGAAAAGAAAAAAACAACAACTATAAAAACTAAAATAGTGATGATACACTTCGTTACACTGCATTATGCATTATTTTCTTTTGCATAAATTCGGAAATAACATATATGAATGGGCGTAGAATACATGGGGGACTTGTAGGCCTACTTTTACAGCACTTGTACTTTTGTACTTTAATCAAACGTAAATTCGCCCCCCACACTTTTTGGGGGGCAACTATGTTCACATTAGGGATGCAAAATTACGAGTTAACGAGAATATATTGGAATTAA